ATGGGTTCAAGGCTTGCTTTCCACAGTTTTGAGCACTGAGTGAAAAAAGGGTCAGCTGTGCTGTGTTTCACATGAAATACAAGCAAAAAATGTTTTCAGCTTAAAAATAAGGAAAGAAAACCTTTGTGCCATTTGTCATTAAGATTCTCATTGTGCACAACATCTGTCTTCATTCTCATGCTGGCACAGAGTATGTAAGCACAACTATTATAGCAAATTACATCACCCTAAGAAGTGTCTGAGAGGACACTTTAGTTAGTTGGAACATTGTGTTGACATCCACGTTCCACAATGCTGATGAAACCACTGAGTAACACCAGTAGTGGGGGGGGGGGCTTTGAGGGGTGACATTTGGGTCAGAATACGGCCCTACAGCCTTCACCTGCCAGGCTGCGTGGGAGCTGTACTGTGGTCTGTGAGTAGCCATTTTGAAACGGAGAGCCAAAGGTCAGCATGGTCATCGGAGCAAAAAGCTTTTTTCAGACAGATCATAAAGCATCACTCACTATAGTGACCCAGAGAGCGGCATTCCTCACTTTTAGAGGGAAAACAAACTACAATGAAAGAAGGGAAAGAGAGCATTTTGTCTGTAAAAGAATGAGTTTCTCTGTGATAGACAGAGCTGAGATGGGTACAGAGGCCCTAATGACTGCCCAAATACCCAAAGGTTAACTCAAGCTCCATCAAGCTAGAGTCCTGTTGCAATAAGCGAGGTACTGGCTTCCATTCATATACCAAGTCTTAAGGCTTGTATTGTGCTTATCAATCAGTCCTGGATGCCTATTGACAATATCTCTGTTGTTGAAGATGTTGGATTTCATGGCACATGCTGTAATAATTTTATGGCACATGCTGTAATAATTTTATTTTATATAAACATTTTTTTTTATTATTTTCAGTTTTTTTGCTTTGAGGTTTTGGTTTTGAGCCCAGCATGTCTTGAAATTCAGTTTTGTCTTTGGCCAAGAATTTTAATTTAGGAGCATCGCTAGCCTTCACAAATCTTAAGAGCTGGACAGTACAGCTCCGGATGTGACAGCAGCAATTAGGTTCTCCTCCATCTTGCTCAACACTGGTGGGACTGAAGCCCCAGACTTTCTTGGTGCATGGTTACATCAGAGCTGACTCAGGGTTACATCATACTATGTTCTGTCAAAAGATCAACTCTGGTGTAATTTTTACACATTGTCATGCGTTTGTGTGTGTTATCCATCAACGCATCTTATTAAAATTACTGGACAAAGGTGCATTTTTTACAGATCCCATAATGTTCTTGTGAGTGAAACCCATACTTAGGGAGCTGCGAACCAAATTTCCATTGTAATCCCAAATCCATTTTGTCCTAGCTGTTATTTCTAGCACTTCCATGCTGACCTGAGACCAATTTTGTCATAGCAGTTTAGATTTGCACTTGCATATCACAATCAGTGTGGAAGACACCTCCTACCTGTAGCAGGCATACTTGAGCAGAGATTTCCCATTTCCCTCCACACTTAATCAGCTATTTATCAGCCTGTCGCTATGTTGGCTATCCTTCCTGGCTCCTGTTCTCGTTCTGAAAGCACAATGGCTTATTGCACTGATTGTTGTTTGTTGCGGGTTACTGGCGCGTGCCAAGGCAGCACGGCCCAAACGGGGAGCCGCTGCCTGCCAGAATCTATCATTGCACTACGAGAGGGAGGCACAAAGGAGGGAGGCACAAACTCAGTTTTAATTGTAAGAAGCCCAGGTAGAGATTCAGAGCGCTTCCAAGTCTTCCAAGTGCCGGCCAAAGTCGTGCCTGCTGATCTTGAGAGGCAAAAACAGCCTAATTGTCTTTCGCACTCTGAGGATGCAGCAAATGACAGTTGCCAGAAAGCAGCAGCCCCATTCCATCTGCAGCTTAGACCGCAGGCCCACAGCAGACGCTTTTTCTCTACAGAGAGAAAAGAGACAGTCTTTTGCCTGCCCCACCACAGCACATCTTTTGCCAGATGTGAGTGCAGCGGCAGCAGGGATTAGAGGCACCCTGGTTTGAGTGGCATAAGGGGAACCGTACGAGTCGGCAATCTAAATGGAAATCATACCATCTGTTCAGAATTGATCCTTATGACACAGGCTGAATCTGTAGGCTGCATACTTATTCTATACACAGATCTGTAATATGGGACGCACATAACACATGAATTCTACAACCTCGAAAAGAGACACATACAACAAAGGGTGCAATAAGTGGTGCTGTTATTTTGAGGTGTGCATGGGTGAGAGACAGGTGTGTAGTGCAGAGTCGGAGTAAGTGATATTTGCGCATATTAATTCTTTTATTTATTCTGTTTTGTAATTCATGTGAAACTAATGGTTGCCACTGCTTAAATAAGATGACAAAAACGCATACAATATGGCTGAATTTATTTTACGATTTCTTGGATGAATGCTTACAAAGTGTTTTGTGTTTTACCCACATCAAGTACATGAGTTAATTGTTACTGAAGGTATTTCTCCACGTGTGAGATTGACAGTGGTTCTTTCCACTGCATTTCTGTCTCTTTCCAGCAAAGTGAGCACCTTTGCAGGCACAGATATTGTTGGGTGCCTTTTAGCTTATCTATATTTAGTAGTGTTAATTTTGATGGATTTAACCACGTGCAGATAAAACGTGCCAATCATTACCTAACCTTTTATCGCCGTTTATGATACTGCATTTAAAAAACTTAGATCATTAAAGACATGCCTTCAATGTCAACTTTTAAATGGCAATATTTACAATAAAATAACAGTTAAAAAATAAATATAACTAATAACTGTTCACATAGCAATGCCGTGTATCACTATCATACAGGACTCAAGAACCCTGCCACAGAACACCCCAACCTTTGCCGAGGGCTGTTAAGCTGCTCCAACATAGAATAAAACATGAAATATGCCACTAGTACCTCTAATGCACCACCTTAAAATGGTACAACCTGTGCTTCATCATATGATCATCACAAACATGCTGTGCACATCATTATATATCAGTGCTAATTGTGGCAACTTGTACTTTACTAGTAGCTATTGTTGATCAAACAACACCTGCAACAGTAATGCTAATTTCTGCTAGCAGTTATTTAAGATATTCCATTATCTATTAGCATCAAGCTAACAGAAGTGTTATTTTTTTTTGTTCCCCCACATTGGTTTCAATACCACATGACTTAAGTCTACAGAAAGACTTCTGACAAACGAAGCTTATGACAGACATTTAAGTAACATTTGTTTTTACTTGTACACTGCAGCTTACAGTAAATCCTTCAGTATACATTCAACTTAAAACTCAACTGAAAACTTGAGTATTACTGCATTTGTCTAATTCCCATTAACAGCGTTTCAAGCTGCTTGTTAAACAATACAGGAGCAATAAAAAGAGCAATAAGAAGCAATAAGAGATTTTCTACTTTGCCTTATGAAACAACCCGTATGGCTATGTTCTTGGAACTGTATATTGACACCTATCGGTCTGGGACCACCTGTACTGCAGGGGGTGTTGTGTAAAGGCAACAGCCCTCACCTTACTTCATAGTGGAATGACAGGGATGGGTGTGTTATCAGTGTTGCTCAAAAGGTAATTTACTGGTAACTATAAGAAATGCTTGATTATGGATTCTTTGTAGTCAGTGACACTGATGTTGTGATGGAATGGCAGGGACGGGTTAGTTATCAGTGCCGCTCAAAAGATGATAGAGTCAGAGGAAAGCTACTAGTAACTATAAGAAATGCTTTTTTGGATACTGTATCACTAACTGACACGGATGTTGTCATAACCAGTTTAGAAAGTAACAGTTATCTGTGCAAGTAACACACGACAGCAACCAAACGCATAGAACAGCATTATATAAAGTTTGTTTGAGATCGAGCATTTTCTGACTTCAAATATAAATCATTCTCTGTCTTTGTTACCACTTGCAGTTGAAGCTGCTGTTACTGAGAAAGTAAGACAGCAACACAGCTTAGCAAATTATTTACTCTTCCTCACGAAGACCAAGCACTATTACCTCAATACTGAGTGCTGCAAAATGGAAACTAGACTATATGGACAACTAGATTACTCACTTATGTTCGCTTGCTATGTAATGGCAATGCTATTGTGTATGCTAGCACCAAAATACTGTTATCCTTTGCCACAGATTCATACTCATTCATACTACAGGGTAACTTCTTGGTCATGTCGACAATGCCTGGCAACAATAAAATTATTTGACCCTATCTTTCCACCATAAAACAGGTAACTTCAGTATCACTCTGAGGTCCTCTGTTCTTCATAAGGGCTTTCCAACTGAAAAATGCGGTGCTGACGTTTACCCTGGTTAGTCTTAGCTTTCTTCTTTCTTGTTTACCGTTACCTGCTAGCAACTCCTAGTTGTTTGTCAACTCAAAGTTGAGGAGGACATGAAAGACCTTTTTGAGGAAGAAAAAGTTTTTTGTCTGCTCCTCTTTCTGCTGTGCTGTGGCTACATTCCACTCAGAGGAGGGAATGTATCACAGGATCAAAGCATGGGGGGCTTGGGGAAGCTTATGAAAGCAGAGCTGCAATACATATCTAAAAAAGTCATATCTAAAAAAAAATTGTTTGACTAAAATACAGTGATGAATTTTCAAAGTGTCCACAAAAACATAACTGTGCTTGCAAAATATTGCCATATTCCAATTGACCAAATACCAGCATGGATGCAGAGAGAAATGGACAAACAAAACCTGCTAGATTTTGAGTTGTGCTCATGCTTTCGTTTTGCGAACAGGATGAGCAGGTTGCTTATTTTAATAAATAATAAATAGAAATTTGTCTCTATCTTGGCAACTATTGCCTCAACTACTGCTATTTTAGGTTTTGTTTCTATATCACTTTGTGCTTTTTTGGTGTTTGTTGGCCTAAACTGAATGTAAAGTTTCATTTATTTACTGGAGAAAATAAGACTCCTCTTCTTGTACCATATGCTGCATAGTTTGGCTCATGTGCAGTATGTGTTATAAAAGGCACTACTTACCCTGCTCAGGCCCATATGATAGCTGCTTTTCTCCAGCTCCAATGATTCCAGTAGCTCCTCCACAGCCTAACATACAAGTATACACAAACACACACAGTGAGATGGGCATGGAAAGTCAATTTACTGTCAGCCTGAGAGCACAATGAACATACCATGTCAAAGCACTGCAAGGCTCCATGGTGACAGTGTGTTGACAGGGGCCTTCTCTCTACATTCATCTACCTTGGGTATACTGGGATAGAAAGAACTGTCTCCCTGTCTTTGACTCTTCACGTTGCTCACATTTGAAGGCTCTCTGTATGGCAGGATGTCTTGTGAATAAACCACATGGCAGTGAAATGACCAGCCTTTCGATGGCTTGCTGTCTCATGGGAAGTGACCACATATCGGTGTTAGAGGTCAGCTGAAGAACACATCGCTCAGAGCTCTCAGTGCTGCTCAGTTCAAATAGGTTCAGTGGAGAAAAGAGCCCTCAACTCTGAGGGCAATCGTCTGGTGGCTGTCATCAAACAAACCAGCTGAGTCACTGTCACATGCTCTTTCCAGGCCAGTAAGCGGGGCACTTTTATTGACTCATAAGGTTCTACACATTGGAAAGATGTGTGACTGTATAGTTCTAAAAGAGTAGTGCGGCCAACATGTCCACCAAAGTTGGTTTCTTAAGTTTTGTTCATGGCTAAAGAATGAACCAGTTCTTAAGTTTTATTCAGGGCTAAAGAATGAACCATTTTTATATAAAAATCAAATAAAAGATTAAAGAGTGCAAATTTTAAATCATAAGAGCTGCAATTTTGATTATATCAAACATTATTCAGTGTTGTCTTAACAAGTTTTAAATGAGGAAATTTCCCCTAATAATGCAGAGCTGGTGAAATGACTGCACACTACACTCAGCATTTAAGCCTCAAGTCTAAAAAAAATGTATGTGCTATTTTTCTGGTGAAAACATATGTTTTTTTTTAACAGATAAATGGCTTTCCATATTTTCTCAGATTCCTAAGACTTCTAAAACTTGCACAGTACTGTGCAGTGTGTAAAACAATAGCAGTTATCTTGAAGCTGGAATTTGTCCAGACTTTTGTTCATTTTCATAGATAATGGCATGTCATAAGCGCCAGAAACCAAAACAACTCCATTATTTCCAATAACTTGAGAAAACTAAAAAAAGTAAATGTGAGGTGATACAGGCGTGCAGTTTGAACAGTTCCAACTGGCTATACATAAGCTTCAAATAGCTGTTAGATGCAATAGTATCTCAGATCCAGTGCAAAATTAAAGAAGTAAATCTGAAACACATCTTCACTGATCAACTACATCTGGGGTAAATGTGTGTAAAATTAATTTTCTGCAGAACTATTCTTTTACGGAGTAAAACCTACAGATCTTGTGATCTTATTCTAAGCTGCATTAAATCTGTTCTTACAGAGATGATCATGCTATGCCTCACCTGTCTAAACACAATTCACTGACTTCAGCATATATAAATCAGCACAGTACTTTCAGAATTACAACCTTCACTCTCCTTTTGGCCCCGAGGCCTCCATTCCCCTGAGAAAAGGGTTAGCAAGGAGGACTAGATGATACTGATAGAGGTGTCACTAAAGCCTTCGATTAAAGCTGTTTTATTGTTCTGTCGCTGAGACAGCAGAGAGACAGAAGGAAGAGAGATGAGTAGTGCAGGCTATTACTCAACACTACACATCAGAGCCCCCAGCACTGTCATAATCAATTACACAGCAGAGCAGCTAATGCAGGAAGAGCAGGGACGCTCACACACACACACACACAAAATGTGACTCACCCTTTTCTCGTCCGTCACAATGTAGTTGCGTCCATGCTTTTTGGTCAAGTGGGGCGCTAGTACATCAAAGCGGCGGCGGAACTCAGAGAAGACCATGTGGTCAGGGTAACCTTGGAGAAGAGGAGAGTGAGGTTTATGTGCTTGGCTAGGACAATGCCAGATCAACACGAGGACAAGGCCAGTGGTCAGAGATTTCTGCCTACTTCATTGCCCAGGTTTTAAAAACAAATGTTTTAACAATGCCATGTTTTTTTTTGTTTGCCTTTCAAGGGGAAATTACTGAAAAACGTTCTGAGTACCTTCTGGGATCATTAATTTCAGTTCAAAGTTCAGCACAGTTTGATGAAGCCCAAATACACCTGATCAGTTAATTATCAGGGTTGGTAGGTGTGTCTGAGCAGAAAAAAATAAATCACCAAACAGTGCTGGACTCTATCCTTGATAACCCCTGTTCAAATGCATTCTGGGACAGTATGAACCTCCAAGACTAACATAGTTGTTACTATGTACAAGAACATACTAGAGAGTAGGCATGTAAATGATCAACCAATTAACTGTTAACTGAAAAACTACTGTTTAATGAATGCTATGAGTTAAAAATGTTAATTTTATATAATTTCCAATAAACAAAAGTTCCTATATGAATGAGCAACGATCACTGAGCTGATGAATGTTTCTGAATTGTACACATAAGGGCGCAGTAGGCAAATAGTTCTACCTTATCTGCCTACCAAAAAAATAAGCGACCAACTAAAAACAGGCGATAGCACACACAAACTACAATAACATACTTTAACAATAGCAAACATCCAGCACTTTTTCATCCATGTTCTCTGAGAGACCTTCAAAATTTCAGAAAATGTTCAGTAGCCCATCATTATATATTCTGCACATTTTGGCAACTTTTGGTCATACAGTCATGAACAGAGGTGGGTGATAAGGAAAAAATTGTATATCACAACACATTTTCATAATACACAGTACGTATCACAATATTTTGACATACACAAAATATGTTAGTCACATTTAAAAACTGCTATCAAAAACTAAAAATACAATGTTTATTCTTGAACATTTCACATACTGTACTGCACTAAATCCAATTAAACAGGACTATTTATGCAGTTTGTCAGTGTTTAAGTACTGATGATAACCACAATGTGCTTGAAACGCATACTGTTTATCACAATAGCAAAATTTACATTTTTGCATGTTTGCAAATGTTATTTTATTTTTGTTATCTTTACTGCACAGTGTCCTTGGGTGTCTTGAAAGGTGCTTATCAAATAAAATTTTATTAGTAATTATTATTATATAATAACAAAATACTGTAATTTTGCCCAACCTTAATCATGAACAGATTATAAGTGTCAGCCTTGGTGTAAAAAAATGGTTCTTATGTAGCTATGTTTAATAAGCATTCGGGTTGTTTACTTCATATACATTCTTATGCATGGCCCAAACTATCAGTACCATGTTCCACAGTTCATACACCTTTAAATATCTCAGTGCATTCAGTTCATGTGTGTGCTTATAAGTACGCATATATCAAGTATTTTACAATGGCTTTGAACGCAACTCAGCCAACCAGATTTCAGAACCAGAACAGTTTTATGACTGATATTTTATGGGCTGTGTGCTTGATTTTAGGCTTGCCAGTAAATAATTAATTGCCAACTAATGACGGTTGGTTATCAGTAAAATGACCTTGCCAAAATTCACATCCCTGCTTGAGAGAATGTGCCAGTTTCTGATGCTCTTTCTGAAATGCGGACTACAAACACAGATGCTTTTAAATTTATCCACTGATGTGTTTGCATCCCACGCATCATTCTTTATAACGGCGAGTATGTGCTGATAACTCTGATAGGTACAAAATAAAATATTTTTCCTTCAGACTTTGCTTTCATACATCCAAACAAGCAGTAACCAAGTAGTACACCACAGTGGCAAAGACTGATGTCCTAAAATGAAACTGATCTGTTCAGGTAAGCCAGGCGTTTGAAACGTAGATAGGCTAGCTAGGTGTATATCACTCTAGCGACAATGCTGGATAATACCAGTGTCTATCTTGCATGCAGACACAGCCATTAGATTGGCATACATTTCACTATGCATTTTGGGTATTTGTTTTATTTTTCCATCATGCAGCCATCATCCTGTCAGGGAGTGCATTCTGCCAGGAAAAGTGCCAAAATATATTGTCAATTTTTTTGGAATACATTTATTTACATTAGTTCACTAAGAAATATATACAGCTATAGAATTTCAGTGGAATTCCTCTTTAATAACATGAGTCCTTAGCGTCTCTAAACAGAAGGACCCTCAATGCAATGCTTACAGCCTAAAACAGTCAGTAGTAAACAAAACAAATTCTAAAAAACACATTTTAAAGGTTACCCTAGCCTTCAGACAAATGCAGTCACTCATAAAAGTTGAAGCATACTTTTTATGTTTCTCTTTGTTGTTATCTACCCTTGAACTGCGCTTGCAGAAGATCTTTCACATCAACAAAGAGAACAAGCCCTGTACAAAACATCAAACAGTCTAGACTTTCAGACTCATGCCCTACCTTGCCGGTATATGCGCAGTGCATCTAGCAATTTAGAGCCTCGGAGCTGAGCACGGAGCAATCCCACATCCAGCTGCATGAGGCCGGTCTCACAGCTCTCTCCGTGGGCCTCGCTGTCCCCAGAACGGGGAGAGGGTCCCCCCAGTACGCGTGGCTCTGCACTGTGGGCTTCCGATTTGGGCACCAGGCAGTGCACAAAGTGCACCCTAGAGCGTCTCACTGTGTCTATGAGAGCATCCTGCAAGCGGGTTTCAGTTATAATGTTTTCCATTGTGATTGATGAATGTTTTCTTATGATACAATTAAAGTCTCTGGAGTACTAAGCGAACACAAGTAAAATGAGACATTTTAGCAGGGCTGCACGATACATTTTTTATTGCTATTTGATATCATGATATTCACTTTTGTGATATTATATAACAGAAGTCTGCAATATGCCATCCCTGTAACCAAATACATAATCCAGCTAAAAGTAAAAAAAATTAGTCAAATTGATGCAAGCTGGTTTTTAACATGTCACATTACTGATTCACATCTACACTATTAATGTACTGCAAGGCATATCGAAATCACAATGTGTAACAATATAAGTGCACTACTGGTATTCTGTCCATATCATGCAGCCCTACATTCTAAGAGGAAGCTTTGTACTGACCACTTGCAGCTTGATCTGGATGCAGAGGGACTTCTTCTTGACAGCAGCCACACCGGTGGTGAAGGTCTTCCTCATGCTGGTGGCCCGGCGCAGGGCCAGCTGAGAGCCCCCCTCTAGTCCAGCAATAGAGCCAGACAGCACTGTAGCCCCTCCAGAACGCCCCATAAACAGCCCACTGATGTTTTTCCTGGATTAGAGAGATAAGCAGTAGAGGATCAGGAAATATGATGATGATGAAAGGGGAAAAAAAAACAAAACAAAAAAAAAACAGATTTATTATTTAACGACTGCATTAGAGAAAACAATTCTGAACCACAATGTTTCTTCTGATTGTCTGAAACAGCAAGACCACTGATTTTTCAAAATTTCTGCATAATTATAAACGATGTAAACAAAGTCATTTAGAGTGGTCTGAGGCAAAATGCTCCATTTTAGAGAGCAGAATTGTTCACAGCAGTGGTGATAGGAACCAGATGAAGAGTTTAATGCCTCTAAAAGATCCCTCACAAAAAGGTTATTACATGAAATGGTTAAGAATACTCTCCCTGATGCGTGACACATAGTTTTGCAACTTTCGAGATAAAAAATGTTTTGGGCTACAAGATTAAAAATACATTCATGGCAGAGATGTACATGCAGGGTGTTGTAAGGCCCAATAGTATTAAAAGAAAATGCTTTCTGAATTTACCCCTTTTTTACAATTAACCTCGCATAAAGAAACTCAGAAGACACTGGTGGTTTTGGATCGTAAATAAAATGGCTAAATTTGTGTTGTGAATATCATGACACCTGGTTTCTATAACCACCACTGTAAAGAAAACCCAAGTCACATCAAAGCACTGTGAATGACTTTACATCTCAAAAACTGAATTTTGAAGAAATTTTGAAAAGAAATTCCTATTTAAAGTGAAACCTGATTCAAAGATGCTTATCAGCTCCACATGAAGAAAATGTGCGAATAATATACATACATACATACATACATACATAAATACATACACAACAACAGTTACCCAGCTATTTTCTTTTACTTTGTTATATATTTTACTGACCAACTCATATACATATGTGATTCAAGTAAACTCAAGGCATTGAATAATGCTTCTTTTTATTTGTATTCTCATGGTCCATCTGAAGGTGAATCTTACTTCTGTGAGTCTTGCAGCAGAGTGGCAGCATTTTGCGAGGCAGGGTTCTGCTTGGCATGGCTCAGCCAGCCCTGGGCGTTGTACTCCACCCAGTCTGTGCCGTGACTATGACCTAAGAGGAAGTGATGGGACTTCTCGCTCTTCAGGAGCAGGTTGGGGCCTGAAGGAGTGGAAGGTCGTGGGTTTAGAAAGAGGCCTTAAGCTCATAAGTGAGTTTCCATGGTGTTCTGAAGGAACTGGCCACAGCGTTTATGCTATGTGGGAGGTATGTGTGTGTGAGATGATGCTGACCTTTAGCCTCTCCCTCTGAGGGGCCATAGTAGCTGAAGAGGCGTTCCAGTAGAGTCTCCTCAGAGCCTCCGGGCTGCAGGGCCTCCTCCTCCATCAGCCACAGCAACCCTCGCGCCTCGTCCGTCCGCGCAAGCGTCCTTACCTGACACGGATACATTTGAATTTTAAAATATTTACTTTAAAAAGATGGTTCTTCAAGTATTCTTTAGTAAAGGCAGTGGTTCTTTTAGAACCACGAGGTCTATATAAAACCATTTGCATGCTTAAATGGCTCTCTGCATGGTGAAATGTTCTTCAGGTTGATGGAGAACGTGTTGTATATGGATCTGTATAGAGCCTTTTTGAAAATGGTTCTTTATAACACCAAAAAGAGTTCTGCTATCTTTACACTGTTAAGCTTGTGCTACATAGAACCATTTCTGCAAATATATTAGCCTTCCAGTCTAAACAACAGTACACAACAGTACAGAGACGTTTACTGATAAACAAAACATGCCTACATAGCAACAGAGCTAGCCTAAACAGGCTTCAAACTGTTGTTGGTGATTCCAAACGAGTACTCAGATAATGGCTCTCAAAATCACCCATAAATACAGTAATATTTACATTTCAGAATTAACCATTATATTTAATATGTTCATTTTTTCTTTGTTTTGTTTTCAATCTGAATATTCCAGTTTTTGATTTGTGACTAATAATTTTACAAAAAGACAGATGTGTCGGAATAATATAAGGAAACGAAAATCAACACTTGAGTATTCAAATATGTGTCCACCCCTACACAAAACTCCACAGAGCACTCTTTCATTGAAGCAGGGCAAAGAGCTAAAGCCACGATGGCCAACCAAATCATCTCAACATAACACAGGCAAAAGAGCAGCTTTTAGCCTTGGAATCCTCATTAAAGCCTCATGTAAAAAGAATAGCTCCGGGGCAGTCAGGCAGGCATTTTTAAACTTTGCACTCTTGCTGTCCACTTAAGCAATTAAAGGCAGTAATGGCTTGCCACAGCTCCTCTCTTTTCTTATCATTTCATATTAGTGCGCTGAAACCTCGCAGCAGCTGCGTGATCATGATCGAGACCAGTGGTGGATATCATTATAAAAAAAGAGCAAAGCTTTATTAACTGATTTCATAAGACTACAATTGAAGGTGTGCTGCACTACCTTATGCATAACACTTTTTATACGGTCTAGACTCTCTTATATTTTCTTGTCACAGTCTGAAGCAGAAGTGAGCGAATTAGCTTCTTTGGACTAAATAAACACATTTAATTCTGATTTGTATTTTAATGAATAAAGCAATCAGTCTGGTTTATTATTGTAGTGAATTTTAATTGGAGTACTATGTCATGGCCCTACACAGCATTAAATGGCATTTAGTAACTTTCAGTGTGCTCGGTGTGGAAAAAGATAACAAAAAGCAAACAGACCATGGTCTATGAGTAAAAAACTAACAGCTGTGTTGGTTCTTAAGATTCAGAGACTTTGTAATTTCTGATAATGTATTCTCAAACTCAGTATTTGTTGTATTTATTTAATAATGGTAAATGTTAAAGTCCCAGTGAACAAAGTGTAAAATATTATTATCCGTCATCCAAATGGGGAAAAAAAGGTCAAAATATCATAAAACACAGCTTTAACACATACTAATCAGACATATCTGAGAACTGTCTGGGTTAGGTTCTAATATAATACTCGGAGTCATATAATTACTCAGAGTTTGACTGACTCAAGTCACAATTCTGTGTAAGGGTAACTGGAGTTTTCAAATTATGTTAAAAACTAAAAATACATATTTACATAAATAGACTGGTCAGGAACCCCACCAACAGAGCAGATATTATTTGGGTGGTGGATCATTCTCAGCACTGCAGTGACAACGGTGCTTTATACACCTCAATGTCACTGCTGGACTGAGAACAGTCCACAAAAATATCCAGATAACAGCATCCTGAAAGGCAGCGTCCTCTGACCACTGATGATGGACTAGAGGATGACTAACAAACTGTGCAGCAACGGATAAGCTACTGTTTATAACTTTACATCTACAAGGTGGACCAACAAAGTAGGTGTGTCTAATAGATTGGACAGTGAGTGGACACAGTGTTCAAACTCTAGCATCACTGCTGTGTCAGATCCGCTTGTACCAGCACAACACACACTAACACGTCAGTGTCACTGCAATGCTGAGACTGATCCACCACCTAAATACCTACTCTGTGGTGGTTTTGTGGAGCCCTGACCATAGAAAAACAGGATGAAAGGGGGCTAACAGAGTATGCAGAGAAACAGATGGACTACAGTCAATAACGGTTCTTTCAGTTGTTATGGCTCTATATATAACCACTGCCCTTACTAAAGAACCATCCCTTTCTAAAACTAAATGTTATGATATACGTGTGCTACTAGCAAATACAGATAGAAACGGAAAATAATCCTCCCATAAACATTTCCAAACAGACCAGCACTGACCCATGTATGTAATAATGTTTGTACAATGAAAGCGTGTCCTCATTCCCACCTACTTCACATCAATAGAGCATATTCACACCTGAGTGTGGCTGTCTTTAGGAGAGAGAGAGAGTGAGAGACAGATACCCACACTGTGTTGTTATGCCTGACACAATAAGAATATAAACAGTCCACATGCACATTTGCTACACCAATCACCTTAAACGAGGTCTGTTTGGTGTAAAAGCTTGCAGAGAGGCTTTCACTGGACATTAATTCAATTGGTAAGAAGTGCCTCTCCAGCCACAGTGTGAATGACCATAGAACTCTAAACGGTAGCATTCATGATATGCATAAAAGAAGAGACGCAGTCATGCGAGTGGCAGCTGCTGCATATGTACAGCACACTGCCTGCAGGCACAGCTCCACAAAGACAGGCGGGAGACAGATCACCATACTAATCTGGGCATTACTGGAGAGGCAGGCAGGAAAACTGGAAAGGAAGGAGGTGCTTACCAGAGCTTGGGCTGAGGCCTGGTCTATAGCTGCTACAGACAATGATGTACTGGACTCTATGTCATCTAATGCAAGCTCTATGTTTTCCTAAATGGGAACAGAGGGGTCATTAGTTCACTACGATTAAGACATGGTTGATTTTCATGTTACAGTTTTGTGAGTAGTTCAAATTTCCAGATTTTCCATCATTCATTTTCATTTCTTGCCCTGTGACCAAAGCCTGTGAAATACAATGCTTTTTTCAACAGAACCAAAGCATGAAAACTGCTTTAGACCTTACTCAAGCTGTATTTGTATTGAAAAATAGAATATTATCCAGTTGAATTCACTGAAACCCCCTAAAATCCCAGCCTTATTAGATTCTTACATTCTTATTACATTCAGTATTTAAATAGTAAACAATGTAAAATGGCGTCATTCTTAAACTATGGGAATGAGTAATGAAGGCCTGGACCTGCCAGTGGGTCCTAGGCATTTAAGGGGTCTACAGTTCGTCCTACATCTGTGTCCAAAGGATGCAAGACAAAATATTCTGGTCACAAGGCAAGTCAATTTGATAAATCACATATAAACAAAACTACAAAATTATCAGAGGAATCAACAGTATGAATCACTTGCAACTGAGATCTTTATAATTAAATACTATAAAAGATGTATCAGTTAATACACTACAAGATATAGTATTTCTTAAAAACAATATTTTGATAGTTAAGTTTTTAAGTGGAAAAATGTGTTTTCTCCCTTAAGCATATCTCCACAGCTGTACCTCCTTGTAACGCTCCAGTTCCTGCACAAACGTGCGCTCGTGGAAGAGGGTCTGCAGGCGCTCCTGAGCATAGTTATGACACAGCTCCTCAAAGGTGGCACCGCGAGCTTGTTTAGTCAGCCGAGGGTTCTGAAAGCCTGGTGTGTCCACAATCAGCAGAGAACACAGAGAGTGCTGACTGGACTTCAGCGCTCTGAAAAACACAACAAGCACCTTCATTTGGATACGCCTACTCGCCACAGAACTTCAAGTTTTAATGCTTTGGACCTAAGGGGGGGCAATATGATTTACTGTTACTGTGATGGATTACATCACCTCACGTCACAGTGTGCTTTTCGTCAGTGCTAGGATGAACTTCCCGAACATTTTATAAGTAGGTTCACACAAAAATGGTAAACGTGTCAGTTATTTGAGTGGCTTTTCTGTTTTCAAATATTTTAATTATCAAATGTATCGAATATTATCAAATATTTGCTGCAGGCCTAGTGAGCACTCAAAGAACAGTGACCAACTGCATGTTTTAGGGCGGTAATATGTCACTATTTTATCGTTAGTGTGATAAATGATGTCACAATACGCTTTTCTGAGCATATCATGGATACTGTCAGTACTTAAAAAACCACCTACAAGTTTCATTACAAAATGAGCATAATTAGGCCTTTTTAACAGTGCAGTGCAGTTTGTGAAACACTGAATAAAAATTCAATGTTTGTAAAACATTTAATAAAAATCAGAGTAGTTTTTTAATTGTAGGTTTATTATTGTAATCATATTTTAAAATGTTGCAAAACAGATTCTATTTTATCTAAATAAACTAAATATCGTGCTGCATATTGCGTAGCGTAAAAATGTCTTAAAGTATTGCGATATAATATTTTTGCCACATTTGGCATCATTACAAAGAGAGCATTATTTGTCCTATTTAACTGGATTTAGTGCAGTGCAGTATGTGAAACTTTTAATAAAATCACTCTATTCTTACTTTTTGATAGTATTTTTTACAAGCAGCATTATTGGTGCATTTGACTGTTCCAACTTATCAAACTTCAGAAAAAATATCAAGTTGTTATACTTATTTGGTATTGTGTAAATGTCTGAAGCATTGTGATGATGTATTTTTTCCATATCGCCCAACCCTGTTCAGATCTCTCACTTATAAAACAATTCAGAGTTAAAAATAGCCTCCTGACCACTAGTCTCTCTACTGGAAATTCAGGAGTAAAATTGGAAAACAGCATACTATTACAGAAAGCAGACTTTGTCATTGACAAACAGTTTTGTCCATTAACACAACACATGCCAGTAGGCATATTTTGTAGTCATGCATTATCATTACAGACCAAAAAAGCAACAGAGCATTGAATTTCTAACATTTTATTTATATAGTTATTTTAATTCCACATCTCACAGTATAGTATATATCAGTAATGCAATTTATGGTGGTATAATACCCCAAGATAAAAATGGGCCTCCATAGGCAAGCTATTAATAATGATAGAGATCATAAGCTAGTTTCAATCAAATACTGTGATAAAAGTAACAAGCACACTGTCTGACTTTTACTTCTAGTAAAAGAAGTACAAAAAAACCCTAATATCTGTTAAACTATCCTGTGTCCACCAGGAAACATCATTTGCACACTGGCTACTGCAACACACTGTGCACTGTGGATTGTAAGAGTGCACTGGATATTCTCCACTGTTTTCATTACTACAAAAATGACAGACTTCAAAGTAAAGCACTATATAATGAACAGAGAATAGTTTTGCCTCAGTCTCAGCTTTTTATTTATGTATGTATGAATAAATAAATATATAAATAAAGAATAAACATTCAAAAACAAAGCTGAGTTTCTTAGGCCAGCCACAAAATGTTTTCTCACTTTCGAGATATACACAAAGTGAAAGCTCTCAGCTACACTCCATTAAGTTCATCTGAGGGTGCGAGAACTGCAGCGCTGTGCTGACTATTGTGGCAACGAAAAGAAAAAGGACTGACCGGTTGACGAGGGAGATGACGAGAGTGAAGAGCTCAGAGTAAAGTCCAGCAGCCATGGCCTCCAGACACTCCAGAGCTGTGATCTTTGGACCTGGGGTATCAATATTCACAATATGACAGATTCAGAGCCCAGTAAACCACACAAGCTTTGAGTGTACATGCATCATCATAATATAAAATTCCATTATTCAGGTCTTTGTATTGTTCAGCATGCACCTCAACTTTACTGATTTAACAATTAAAATCCCAATGACAATCCTAACTCTCCATATACTGTATATAATTCATACTAATTTATCATCACTGCATCACTTTTTTTTTTAAGTGAAATAAAATGAAGTAAAAAAGGTGATGAATAATTCACAGTAGTTTCTAGATAATATGTCTTAAAAGACCCATACGGTGAAAAAACTTACTTCAGATTTCAAAGTGAGGAAATGTGTAAACAATAAGTTTCAAAACATACCATGCCCTCCCCAGTCCATACATCCACCTATTATATCCACATATCCACATATTCGGCCAACAGCAGTTTAGCTCTGCCCATTCACAATGAAGTTCTAGGAAGTGTCTCAGTTCTGAGTGCTTTTTAAAAGAGTTGCAACACAAGACAAACAATCAAAACAAAGCTTATTCCTATTATATCGTCCTTAAAAGATCAAGTTGAAATTAATAAAAATGGCCTGTTTAATTGTAGGGGATAAAGAGAGGTTGGAAAACGGTCAGGTTAAAATTAAAGAGAGAAAAATGTAGGACACGGGCCCTTTAAGATTAATAACTTAGAAGGCTTGTCATGCTGTATTAAAATGTAACATGTAAGCATGTTTAAATGTAAGCAAACTATAAGTTCCATGAGGAAGTATAATTTTATTCAATATCTGTATACAACAGTAAGTTGTTTGAAATTCAAATAATAATAAAAAATCTCCTACTTAAAAATACAAGCAGGTATGAAATGAAAGTTTAAAATCTGCACTTTTGAAAGAATCTCTCTGCTTGTTTCACTGAGCTATGAGTGTGAAAAAAGGATATTAAATAACAACATTCTTCTGCTATAGCCAGTGACTTCTAAGGGTTAATGCTTCAGCATTTCGAAAAGAACTGGCGTTAGCTTATCCTTAAATGTTTTGGAAAATTTATCATCTAGACATGGGGTTTTGCTACACCTCATCACTGCAGTAGCAGTCTGACCTTTCGATCAAGCGTCTGATTTAAATTCAACTTATTCTTAATTTCTTATTTGTGCTTCTTATCTGAGGTGTATGTTGTGATGCTGCCTGGTGCTTTAACTGGTGAGACATAAGCAGAATTACTTTGTCTACTTTGTTTGTGGTACCTTTTATTGTAAAAAATACCACAAGTTCTAAATATTAAATGCTTCCCTTGGTTTGTAGATAAAAGATTAAAATTTTATTGTAGGTTTGCCTCATGTAGTTCAGCTGTGGGTGCCTTTGAGTATCCTAAAACCAAAACAGACTGTGGTAAAACTTGGATTTTTTTCTTATTCTCTCTGTTAACACGAGATGTACATGATATTATCTGACCTCTCGGGTAGGCTTTTAAAAGTTCTGAAAGTAAAGAGTACAATACAGACTAGGTTTTATTAGGAACCAGAAAGAATTGTATAGTAACAGACACAAAGCTGCAGAACTTTTCACCAGAAAGTAGAACTTCCATTCGGGCTGTCTACTCATATTTCTTATATTTTATATTTCTCATTTTTTATTTCTTCCACTTATAAAGTAATACACCCACTTCTCACAAAAGACATCCACTTGTCAGATTTGTTTGGTTTTATGTACCAAAAACAGTAATTCATCTCCAACCACTATTACTTAAAATTAAAGAGGCTGTTTCTGTTACTATATTTTTAAAAATGGGGTATGTGAATGAGCTCTCTTCTGATTGGCTGCTCTGTATTGTACCTTATTCCAGTTTTTTTTATGGCATCACAAAACCAAAATAAAAAAACAGGCTGTTTTTGCAGCATAATTTCCATATATGATCTGTATGGACTGGGGAGTGAATGATTTGTTTTGAAACTTGAACAATGTTTGAACACTACAACTCTTATTTTATAAAGCTGAGAATTTTTCCATGATTTAGGCCCTTTAAAGAAATAAGAGGTCTAGAGTCACATGTGCATGATCAGATATAAATATAGCTGAATGTTCAATCGAACTGAACACTGAGATCACAGTGTTATCAATAAAGATGCTTAAGGATATGTGAGTCTGTAGGTAAGCAGGAGAGCACCTGAGTTGTCTCCGGCCCCAACGTCATCCGGCCCCTGGCGGAAGGAGGTAGATCTCTGCAGGGTTCCTTTGGGCTGGTGCTTGAAGATGGAGGAGGAGAGCTCCTCCAGGGTGCAGCCCAGCAGGTACGCTGCCTTCTGAGCCCACTCATGACGTGCAAACTGCTTACGGCCAGCTGCCGGAGAAGCGCAAATGTTAGGAAGTCAGCACAGACATGTGGCTCTACTATTTTAGTCATTTCTTAGAGCATGACATCTTTTCTGTGATTAGATGACACTTTAATGCTCATAAATTCTAGAAAATCAAATACAATAATTATGAAACGACTGTTACAGATTGACATTTGTATCTGCAGCTCTTTTTGTTCTAGAAGTAGTTCTCCAAAGTCCCTCCCTTACATAATCAAATGGATTGCATGCTACAATACTGCATAAAACAAAGAATTCCCCGCAGTTCCAAAAGATTTCAACATATAAAACAGTTCAAACATCACAGAAAATGTGTCTGCTTTATAAGAATGACATTTGTAGTACTACAATTCAATTATAAAAGTTTGAAAAAAAGTTTGATTTTGCAGTCTTTGCCCTCAAATTAAACCATACATAAAGAAGTACTAGTAAAGCGGAGCTGCACTAGAAACAGAAATGCAGAACAGAAGGACTCGGCCTCAGAGGAAACGAATGAGCACTGAACACAAACAAGGCTAGAGAGCCAACAAGACTTTCATTTCAGCTTGGATTATGGATGGTAACAAGAGAAAAGCACTGCAAAAATGAAAAGTCTACAACAGGGGGGGACATCAGAGCAGCAGAGCTTTGAAAGACAACAAAGTTATGATCCCACACACCCCCCACCCCCCAACGCTTCAGTTCAGCTCTGAGACAGTCAGAGACATGCCTATCGAGTGATGAGAGCGAGAGCCCAACTGAGAAGCAAAAGAAGAAAGAGAGGAAACAATAAAAATGCAAATGAAAATGTCTGGCAGCGACGATAAAGGCGTTAAGAAATACCACACACAAACAAGGAGTTAAAGAAAAGTTTGAAATGTTGAGGTTTTAAGGGTTTTCTCTTTCGATTTACCTTCTTCAGTCTCTGCGTTAGCAGCATGCAACATGCAAGTAGAAAAAAGGAGGTTAGAACAAGAACATCACAGTTTTTAATAATACGTGTTTTAACATACTCAGACACAACAATGCATACAAAAAAACTGCTGTGTGAGAACAGAGGGCGGCTTCTCATAAACACACACACTCAGTGCAGAACTTGTGAGTACCTTCATGCAGTCAGTCAGTCACTCTCCTCCTGCTGTCTGACATTCTTTATGAGAGCAGGTTAAATTCTCAGTTCTTCAGTCTCTATAGAACAGTTAGACAGAATCTACAAGGAAGGGTAACACTGCCCCCTGCTGGTTGATTCTCAAACTATTTCCAGCATGTCCCCGTTGGCCCTGTTTACATGTGACCTTAACATACGATCACTGTGATCAGACAGTGGAAATTGGATCATCATCCACTCAAGACAGAGCATTTTTACACTAGTACTTTTCAAACGTAGCTTCTGCATCCAGAATTACTTGTGCAATTTTGTATTGGTAAATTAATATAAACATTAAAACATTTCAGCACTTCTTTCTAAAGTTATACTTCTAAGGTGGCAATCTATATGCTTAACAGCCACAACTGAAACACTGTTGAAAGAAAAATTGCAGTTAAAACAGACTTAAAGAATTCCAGCCTAGTGGCAGGAGAACTGCGGTGTCCTGATATTTTCAACTTCCGCATTCATAAACTTAAAAAACACAGACACCTAAAAACAACTCGCCTAATGAGAGTTTAATAAGAGAGATAAGATAATACTACTGAAAACTGTGGGTGGAGCTCACATGACGTACAATGCACACTTGATGAGAACACATTCAAATCCTAAAAGCAGTTACACTTGTCTTAAATGTATTTACAGACAACACACAGACACAGGACTCAATTTAATGTCAAATTTAAACAGAAGCTATGTTTCTCAATGCATTAGTAATCTATGGCATTGCACCACAGACAATAACTGAATAAATGTAGCAACTGTCCACTGGCTTCTATAACAAGACAGCAGGTTTTTGTTCTAATAAGCCCAGGGACACTCAACAAAATTACAGTCAATGGTAATTAACTGTATCCTACAGATGGAGTAGACAGAGATTAGATAAAACACCAGAGTATTCCTTTAAATAAGTATGGCAGTACCATTATGGGGAATCTAATGGGGAAATCCAATGTAGATATGTGATATTATTCACGTACACATCTGCCAATGATCACACCAATACATAAACATTTATAAAACATAAAAATTTGGACTAGCTCCACATGGATTAACATTACGAATAAATATTGCATTTATTCTATGGGATTATAAATGCAGTAAAAGGAATAAAATATATAAATGTTAGCACAGCAGCGCAAAATCACCTCAACATTTGGCTCTTCTGGAGTACAATAAAAACATCATCAAATATTGGTTTAAAATTTCAGTTGTATCTAAGCATGTGTCCAATGGCAATTTTTAAAAGAAATTATCTGCTGATACCAATATGATTCACAATATCATCATGTGCTACAAATAAGCCTCAGATGTATAAGAATAGTTGTCCTTAACTGATATTGTAGCAGTACTGGTTGATGGCAAACTCATCCAACAACTGGCTGTAGTAATAATTGAAATTTTTTCAATAAGGTTTTTCCTAGAGATGTTTTGAGACATTGTGAAGAAGAGTGAGTGATGCACCACAACAGAAAACAGACAATGTCTGTAAGCGGGCAACCCATACCCATCAAAAAACTAACATTGAGGAACAGACTGTGATAGAACAAAAACAGGCACAAACAGTAAGAGTGCAGACTGACGAAAACCAGACAGATCCATTACAGTAAAACAAACAGTGAGATAGCATATACAGCCAGTGCAATATGATGATTAAGGAGCTTATTACCGCATCCATCCTGGACTGCAGGAGGAGGGGAGGCAATATATAAGAGGCCATGAATAAGCCTTCTTAACACAGAGGCATTTGTCTTCATTAGAGCTCGAGAAACACAGGGAGGAACGGCACACATGCCGCTCTATCACGTCTTCACCACGCGCCTGCACTCCTCCACATCAGAGGAACTCACGCTTTCCCTTCTCTGCGCTCAGTGAGCAGGCTGCTGCGCTCAGCCTCGGTAACGTTTTCATTAACGCAGGCAGCATCTGGGCCTGTTCGCGCTTCTGAAGGCTTTATCTCATTAAGGCAGTTTTTCAAACTCTCGGGATCTGACGCGCACACAAAAAACAGCTTTGTAGGGAACATACTGATATATCTACAGCCGGCCATTATAGAACAAATCAAGAGTTTCTATGTGCCTTAGTTTGGAAATAAGTCCACTCTGGATACTGTTATGGAATTAGGCCACACACTGCACAATATGGCCAAAATATCATATTGCGATTTTATTCCTAAAAATCACAATTGCAAAATACAACCATGAAAACTTGATTTCTAAAAGTAATTTGGTTAGCTCATACAATAAGGTATTTCTGCCTTTTATAAGCTGACTAATGCTAAAGAAAACATACTGCTTCATTCAGAATGACCAAGTTGCTTTAAAAGCTCGCAGTGATTGCAAATATTCCCAAAAACGTAAAACTCTAACTGAAGCCAAAATAAATTGTTGCTGTTTATTTTATAATTGGCCTGAAACATGAATCACTGTAAAAAATAGCTTTGAACATTAAAAGGAACATTTTCTACATTTGAATAAGCACTTTTTATTCGATTCAACGAGTTTTTATTTTGACATTCGTATTGATCAGAATTCACAGAGCACAATACACAATTATGTGTATGATTTCTATACTGTAGCCCATTGCAATAATAATGATTAACAGACAATACATTGCAGCCCTAGTTTGAGTTGTACCTTTAGTGGCCCCTGCCGCTCCCAGGTGGTAGATGGCCCCCAGTATGAGCCAAAGAGCTTTCTGTTCTTCAGCAGAGATGCCAAGCACCTTCATAGCTGCCTGCAGCTTGGTGAACTGCTGTGCTGCCTTCTGCTTGTCTTCAGGCTGCACACATACATACACAAACATTGATCATAGTAAAGGTTTTGGTAATAGCAACCTTAGTTCTGTGCTCTGTCTGAGCTTGCAGCATGGTCCTACCTTCGTCTGAGGCACAATTCCAAACGTGTTGTTCTCAGCAAAGTGGTTAAAATGTAGCTCAGTTCTGTGGGAAAGGCAGAAAAGAACGGCTGTAAAAACTTTTGGTCAACAAGTAGCAAACACTGTAAACTTTTTGGTATCAAAACTATCAGACTATTCTATATGTGGACTGCTAAGTGGAAATTGAAATTGAGCAAGCTTTAATTAGACCCACTACATAACACTGTGTTCACATTCCAGCCTAGTGGCAGGAGAACTGCGGTGTCCTGATATTTTCAACTTCCGCATTCATAAACTTAAAAAACACAGACACCTAAAAACAACTTGCCTAAGTATAATAAATCTATCAGTAATGTACATCTGAGATGTGGAGTAAGGTTTTATGGACTGAAGACTGTAAATTTATAAAGATTACTTGGTTCATGAGAAGTAGAAAAAGTGAAAATTGTTGGTGTTTGCAAAAAGCATGGAAAAATATTTCTGCAGATGTCTTTGAAAACCTGAAAGCAAGCCTCCCAAAAATATCAGAAGCTACAATAAATGTAAAAGGTGAACACACAAAATATGTGTGATATTTGTTTTTGTTCTGTACATGTAAACATTCACATACCTTAGAGTGCTGTCTGCTCCAGCCATCATGTAGTAAAAGACATTAAAAGTGGACTCAGCCTCCGGGCGCTTGGTTACCCTCAGTTTTTCCAGCAGCATAGTCTACACAGCGATCCCAACAGAGCATTTTATAGAGAGCAGGGCAGAAAAGGTGAAAGGGCATTAAAGTGCTTTCAAAATTCAGGTGTGCATGCATTCTTATAAAACATGTAGGATAAATGGTACCTGAATGGAGGCAGAGGCCACCTGGCCAGCCTGGTCAAAATCCAGGGAGACAATCTGGGAAAAGCGGCTGGCGTTTGCATTCATAGAAGTGGCGCAGTTCCCAAAGGCCTCCAGGATTGTGTAGACTGCCTGCCATTTCTCCGCTGAGAGGGAAACACATGCACGCACGCACACAGAGTCAATAGTTTACCCACTACAAGTTAATTAGCTTGCTCCTACGCCCTGACTGACTCAGAGGAGGGGTTTCCAGGTCCAGCGTTGAGAGGTGAACATATGCTGATAGCATCTTGCCCTCTTTAATGCTACTGTTGATGAGCAATGTAATCTTCATCGGGTCATTAGGGCTAAGTGTGGGCTGAACAGTCTTTGATGAGCAAGGCTAATTATCAGAGTGTTCCAGCGCGTATCATTAGCAAAGCCCCCATCCATCATCCACTTCACCCTCTACACCAAAACCCCACCAACTGCCAACCAGCGGCCACCATCCATTCACTTCTTTTACACCATCTGCCATGCAGCAGGACTCATCCCTACTTCAGGAGCACAAAGCACATGGACACAAACATACGCATATGAACATGCACACACACACACACACACACACACACACACACACACACAGGTTTGGTTTTATACAATGTGTATATTACACATATTACATATGTGTATCTACCGATATATATTAAGAACAGGCCTATGTAAGCCTAATCCTAAACTTTAACCTCAGATACAGTCTCATAACGTACATATTATTTTAATTGTACTAACTGAATAGTTCATAGTAGCTATCGAACAAGCTAATAGATTGATAACTGAATTATAAGTCTAGAATAGAAGTAATGATGTCCTGAACAATGCCATCCGAGTACTTTCACACTGAGTATCAGCCAATACTCAGCTGATTTGAGTATTTTCAGGTACTGTGTTATCAATAGGTAATTCAATCACACAGTTTAGGTATGCCAATTAATGCTACAGTAAATCTTTTCCTTTTTAGTGTACATATTTGTACATTTTATTTACTTTTAATGTTAGTAATGGCCAATTCCACCCACTAGCTAGTTGAAGCCAATTGTGCCCTCTTGGACTCCTGGCCACGGATGGCTGTGGCACTGCCGGGGGATCAAACTCTGATTAACTGATCTGATGGCTAAAGGTACTTTAAATGCTGCACTGACATTTTTGGGTTCTGGGCTGTGGGATATTTACGTTGTAAATTCAATATGATTTCATTACAAGCACAGTTTCGAGGAGATTCTCAGTTTTGAACACACTATTTCTGCTAATGCCACTTCTAAACAACAACAACAACAACAACAACAAAAAACGACAACAACAACGTGTTGCATGGTCAGTTAAGCAGACTGTTTATGGGTTGTTTTTTAACCATAGTCGACACTCAGGTGGTAAAAACAAAAGTGTGACAAAAGTGCTTCTGGTAGCATGCCACTCGCAATAAGCAGCAGAAAAAGAAACTCGAAACAATGGCCGAGTGCTCATGCTTTACTTGTCCATGTTTAGACAAAATGTGGCTGGTTCAAGATATGACAAGTTTTCATTTTCCACTTTAAAACAGTTGCACACCGCAGACATTCAGAAGAGGAACAGACTTAATACTACTGATACCAGATCCGTTACCACACGGATATCTAAGCTTATCCAGTGAGCCTGCAGGTTGTCATTCCAAACAAGCTGGTCTTAGTCTTCAAATAATTAATCACGTGTGCACCTGTTCTGCTGGAATGAAAATCTGCAGTCACACTGACCCTGTTGCAGATAATACTGACATCGCAATATGCCAGGATTGGCTCCAATAAACTTGGTTTAAAGTGTTTACATTTCTCACCTGAGAAGATCTTTCCAGTGCTACCAGCAATGGACAGCAGATACTGAACCAGGTGCTGGCAGTTGGTGGTCTTGCCACTGCCACTCTTGCCCAGCAGCACAATGGACTGGTCCTGTCGCGTGGTCAGAAGGTTCCGGTAGGCTGTCTGTGCCACAGCATAAATATGCGGGGCCGTGTCCTCTCTCCTGCAGCCCTTAAACATGTGCATCACCTGAAAGCATAAAGGAGCGTTCACTAAAAATAGCAGTTCCACAGCATGGAGCTTTATTGAAGCCAGAGTAATTCATATCAAGAGACACCACTGAGAGCAATTCAATTATGTCCAAAATGAATTCTCCAGACACATTTTTGTGCTACACAAAACATTTTGTTCAAGCCTAAAACACTCAAAAGCCATTACAGCAGCAAAACCCAGCCATCATAAAAGTCTAGACCACACTGGAGTACCTTTTTATTACTGTTCCACAGTCTGGTCAGTAATGAAATGACTAAAGTAGAAATACGGCCACAACTTTGCACTTTTCCATAGTAGTAACACTACCGAGTCAATAAAGCTGCTAATTCGAAAAGTATGTTGGCAGTGAGCCTGCATTTCTAACACATTTAATAGCACATTAGTGCAAAAGAGCTCCGAAATTTCCATTACCAAGTAATCAGCCTGATCCATAAAGCAGGGTAAGTGAATAAGGATTGATGACTAAGAGAAATAATATAGCCTTTAATAAGTAATTACATTTAAATTCAATTATAAGAATGACTTAGTTCTTCATGAAATCCAATAGTGTGTCTAATCCCATTAGCAGGTTTCAGCTGCAGTTTCATTTTGCATCTTGTTGGAAGTATATAATAATGTTCTCTCTTTAATATGCAATATAAGACAATATGCATACTTGGAGCAAAAGGTATATATATAAAAAAAAAAACACGTGTCAAAGCCAGAGTGGTAAAGAGGCACTGTATTGTACCTTCTCAGAGTACATCGAAGGGGCACTGATGGGGTTGATGACCACCATGCTGGGTCCTGCATATGTGTGGATGAGGTTTCCTCCATAGCGCTGCCGCAGACAGTGCATCACGCTCGACTCATTCAGGTAGAGCAGAGTCGCCAGATCCTCACAGCGGTCAAACGAAGGGGGGTTCGCCTAGGGTCAGAAAGTTAAAAAGGTCACCATTCTACCTGCTGAGTAAAGGCTGGCATTGAAGTTGATGATCAAGAAGGGGCCTGTGACACAGTAGGAAGTGAAACGATTTACATTAATATTCTGAAGTCACTGCGGCCTTGACACCTCATGCCAAGTTTTAATGGAATTAAAAGCTGTTCACCTCAATTTTGAATCCAGCTTTGCAATTCCCTAATCAAACAGATGGTTCACACACTGGATTTAACCAACTTTCACATTATAAAAGCTCATCAGCTGAAATCGCCCTTCGGCAAACAAAAGACAATTTAATGACTTTGCGCTGGGCTGTGAGGGAAATACAACCTTCAGAGCATATCTTCTCCTGCCAAAGACAAACATGAGCTCCCAAAAGCCTGCATTCTACTATTAAAGCTTCTGTCAGAGTTCATGTGATTGTCTTTTACTCTCATATCTGGTTCATGTATCATCATGCCCAAACCCTCTTGTACATTTCATATGAGAAACAACACTACACTGCCTAAGGGCAAGCTGCTTTCATCCTGACCTTCTCCACATCATCCTCATCAACGTCCAGTACTGTCCCGTCATGCTCCAGTTTGATCTTCACCTTCCCCTCTGGCAGACTGCCCGCCTCTGTCTTCAGCAAAGTGGCTGCCATCATAACAGGTCAAAGATGTTAGCAAATACTACAAACATGACTACTCCTGACAACCTGCACTTACAATTACACTGTGAAGACAAAACATAAGCACACAAATCTTAAAACCCTAAAACCCTAACTCCACCTTTTACTTTCTAAAACACTTAAGGCCATAGTTTGGTTAAAAAAAAAATACATAAAAGTTCATGTAGTCAATCTGTCAAGAGATGATTGGTATCTCATATTTTCTTTAGTTTTACAGTGGAGACACAAGGCCAAAGTAGCTAACAAGTGTATAAAGCTTATACCGCACCAATTTTCATCTTTCAAACTCCAAGTCTGAACTAAGATGAGTTCTAGGGTCATTTCAAATATACATGCTTTTTGGCCTCCGACACTGTCTTCCACACTGATTTCTACAGTAATGGACAAAAATACAGAGAAAATATATATTTCTCAAGGTCATTTTTTATTACACCACTTGTTTTTGAGACATTACTTCATTATTGGACAACTACTTAATGGCATTTTGTAATGCCATGAGATAGCTGTGGACTGATGGGATGAAGATACTCACCCAGGGAGAAGCCATCTTTGTGGACCAGCCACACTTTCTCTGAGCCGTACCATGCCTGCTCTGCAGCTATCTGCTCCTCCGTCTTCACCTGTGGAGAAAGGGCATACCAACCACACTCAATCATGATACTTTACACACACTCAGCACCAAAACCACTCAAAATCACTCCATGCATGGAAGCCTACTGAAAAATAAAACAGGGGTGATGATAGAAGTTGACTTTTGGTTGATGTTCGAAGACCTGTCGTATCAGATTTCATATACCAGCCCAGATTTTATTAGGAAATCAGGTCTTAGAACAGTGTAAAAGGTCAACTTGTAGAGTGAGCAATGGTGCATGAGGGGCATCCACAGCAAAGTGCTTTAAAATAAGATGTACAGATGAGTTGATAGTTCAAATGATTACATAGGGCAACATGTTTCATAGGGCTTTCTCAAGCTCTTACTTTCTGTGCATGTCTGTGGCCAAACATAATAAACTACCACACATTTTCATAAACGGAAATCCCACACAGTTTCCACAGCCGTCTACCAGCAATTGGATGGAAAACACTACTAAATTTGCCTGAATAAATGCAGACCGACCTTGAGTTCTGGTGTCAGAGAGAAATAAATATGATGAAATGTATTAACTTTTCAATGTTCAGTCAAGCAAGTGAAATTTGAACATAAATAGGAAGGGTAAAGAACACCATAAGATAAGTACATACAATGACCACACGGTTATTGACTTTTGAAGATTATTTATATTAATTGTACACATTTATGTTCACATCATTAATACTTACGGATTATAATATGGTAAATAAACCCTTATTCAAATGTTTACAGGAGTCAGTGCACAGTGATTCAGCCTGTCTATAAGTCTTTAAGTCATTAATGGTCTGTGACTAATGACATGCATTCACTCAGTGGAAGGGCAAACTGACCCACAGTACACCCCCAGATGTACAGTGACATACCTATATAAAGGAAACACATTTGTTGTTAAGTGGTCTCAAACACTGCCAAATGTTCTCTGTTATTTGCTAGGCATGAGCAGTTCCTACTATTATTGAATCATTTATATGGGTCACTGTAACTGCTGGGTTGTATTGTTGGTTTAGTGGGGGTGGAAGATCACAGCACTCCAAACACAGGGCACACAGGACACACTTGACATGGCAGGTCAAAAGGCAAGACCACACAGGTTGGTGAATCACACACACAGGCACAGCACAGGCCAGACCTTTGGCTGGGAGGCAGCAATGTGGGCCGCCTGGAGGATGGCCACTGGATCCTCCTCCACCTGTCCCTGTGACACGGCACGCCAGCAAGAGGGAGCAAGAGCACTGTTAGACACGATTAAACTTCACAATTCTACATTTAGATCCATATATGTTACTTTGAGCAACTGTAGCATACAGTGTTTACAAGAGGAGACAATGTGAACAGATAGATCAGAGTACAGTAGTTCACCTGTATGGAAGGAAAAGATGGTCAGATTGCACTGAACTTCTCAAATTTAGCATCAACACAATTCACAGACCAAAATCTTGATGTGATCACAAACAGTAGTTGTTGAACTTCATTTTACGCACCACATTTATTACAAATAAAGCAAATACAATGACTAACACTGCTTTCAATAACACAGGTTAACAGCCTGTATTGAAAACTTACAAACATGGATAATGGGATACCTGAAGCCTTGTTAGAGCTGGATTAGTATTACCTGGGGAGGAATTATAATTTAAGTCCAGATTCAATTTTAATCCAGTACAAAAATGCAAATTACTTACTGTAGTTCACTGAATGCAGAGCTCCTTCAGTAATAGCGATCCTGTTTAAACTGATCTTAAAGTGATGTAATAACAGAACTGGTCTCATTACACTGTTTTGTTTTTGAACGCTATAGTTTTATGTAAAGCTGATGCTTCAATCCAGGCTTTCTATGATAATTTCAAAAAACACTTACTCAATACTTTAATCAAGTATTTTGGTGAGCCAAATCTCTTACATATTAATGTACATATCCTCTCCTGGTAAAACTAATGGAGCTTGAATACTGTTAACAGGCCATTTTGGTGATATGAGGCAAAGCCTGAAGGCATGAAAGTTCATAAACAGAGCACAGAGAAGCAATGCAAACAACAGCAGCTGGCATTCATAAATACACATTCCATTCAGCCACCATCACACCAGCGCGCTATAACGAGAGCATCCTGGACATTCACTTCAACAGAACCATACAGCGCTGCTGGATGCATGCAGCAAAACTCCATCTTTAACCACCACGTAATGGCTGGACCCACCAAAAAAAGGATGGCTTCTAGCCATTAAGAGTGCAATTAAAGCAGTTTTCAGTAAAAAGAAACAAGGGAGTCTGTATCATATCTGAGACAGAGATCTGAAAATCTGAAATCTGCTTATTAAAATGAACAGCATGAATCAAAGCAAAGAATAGAGGTTAAAAATTTATGGATTCACCATTTGAATGTGATCGATTTAAGTGCATCAATTTTAGAAATAAAAGGAGAATTCTACTGATTTTTCAACAGTTCTGCATAACTTTGAAAGCATCAAGATGTAATCCAGAGTGGTTTAAAGTAAAATGGTTAATTGTAGAATGACCAGTGAACCTACACACCTCTTCTGAGCTTCTGTAGTGTTCATAATGGTAAGTTTTCTTGAGGGACTATTTTGCCTTACAACTCCCTGCGTGCACCTCCAATAATGTATTTTATAAAACATTATAAAATAAAAATTTCTGTTTGCCGAATTCTTCTCAAGCAATCACAAAACAATGTTTCAGGAATCATTTAATACTTTTTGGAAGAGCTTAATGTAATAACTCTCTGTGAGGGAGCTTTTAAGAGGCATTAAACACATTGGATGTCTGGTTCCTATCACCACCACTGTGAACAATTCTGACTCTATAAGTCTCTAGAAAGGACCATTTCGCATCAAATCCCTCTAAATGACTTGTTTGTGTCTTGATAATTTAATTATGGAAAAAAAAAAAATTACTCCCCTGTCAAATTAATTATAATCAATTATAATAACACTTAAAGTATGCACCTATTTCTTGCTTTAGTAAAACAGTTTTTATGATGCATTAAATCTTTTCTTAAACAACTGTAATCAGACTGACATGTGGTCAAAGATTTACACCTCAAGTAATCTTGTAATCAAGCAAAGGTAGTATACATGGCTGCAGAATGAAGGGTGAGAATGCAGAGGACCCGGAGCTTACACTGCAGCAGGCTGCTCGAGAACACACTGTGGCCAGGCTGAGGTGGACACTGGCAGGGGACGCTGAGTCCCCAGATGGACCCTCTACCTGAGTGGACGTGGACGTGGATGCAGACGCGCTGGACACACACTCCAGCTACAGCAGCCAGCCACACAACAGCCACAGAGACAGCAACAGCAGCAGCCAAGACAGCAGTGGACGAGAAAGAGAAGGGCAGATGAGAAAACAGCAATGGATGAGAACAATGGAGAGAGGAACACAGTATGAGAGGAGATGAACATGCCTGAATTATGTTATCAGTGCAATTCCAAGAAAGAAAGAGTGAAATAATTATGAACAGAGGTGCTACAATGCATCAGTGCATCATGATGCATCAATCTGAAAACGCACAGTCAACTGAAATTTTGGAACGTCAGATTGCAATCAAACATAACAATATTTAATAAAAAAACAGAACTCTGCAAAACAGCCCTACATTTATGTAATGTCCAACCAAAATGGCCATTTAGTCTAAGCTATTCATTTAGCTGGAGATATTTCTGGGAGGATTAAACATGAGAAAATCAAAGAATAATAAGTGAAAAACGGGACTTTCCAAAACAGGAGTGGTTAAAAGATACAGAAAAATATGACCCCTAAAAACTGCACAAAACCTGGCAGCCCACCAAAACTGTCAGTTAAAAAGTACTTTAAGCTTTCATTGTTAAGAGACAAAAGAAATCAAGCTCCACTTTTGCTTCAGATCTGACTGTTTCTGTCAGTCTTTCCACTCAAACCTCAAGGTCTGAAAGGATGTGTAGCTGTCAAGAAGCCATAACTGAGAAAGGAGGAAATAAACAAAAATAAGAAAGACTGCTAACAGATACTGGTGAATGACAATGGCCTGACCACCACAGAGCTCAGACCTCAATATAAGACTGAACTTTAGAGGTGTAGAAAAATATCCCTCCATATTTCTTTGAAAAAGTCATGCACGTCCCTTGAAAAGAATGGTACCTGAAATAAAGACAAATCGTGAACCCACTAAATACTAAAGCATTTTATATGTTTAGTTGTTGTTTTGTGTAATTTTCTACTATGAATGAACAACTGAAAAACGAATAACTTGAAATTAATGGCCACTTTCACTAGAAATAAAATAAAGGAAGGGTGGTCTCTGACTGTACAGTACTATACATGCTAACATTTTCACTAAATAAAGATTTAAGACTATTTTCAAATAATAAAAATAAATGAAGTATAATTTTTAGCATCTTAAATACTTCAATCACTTTTGCATATCCATTATTTTTTAAATAATTCTGAATCATAGCAATGTAATCTAATCAAATCAATTCTTGAAATTAGAGATTTCATGTTGCAGTGAATCATTTCCTGAAGAATCAAAATGCTGTGTGGTCAGAGATTTATGCATATTAAGATGGAAAGGTGGCAAAATATGGAAGTGGAGGTAAAGATCATTATCAGAATTTTCTAATATGATTAAAGCAGCAGTATGTGAGATTTGAGTGGAACTAAAGATACTAAGTGGGCAGAAGAAACTGAATGACTGAATGGAACAACCACTATGTGGGTCAATGTCAGCCCATTACTGACACATTATCAAAACACTTATTATTAGTGATTAGTTTCAGAGTGACAGGCCACTATTAGGATGGTGCACAGTCAGTTTCATTCAAATCTGAAATGTCTTCAGCAAAGCACACATCACCAGTACTTCACGCTTAAACTAGCATCTAGACATTATAGCAGCAAGAACACCTCATTACATCAGAAAAACCCAAGTGGTAGTGCAGAGGGAGAACAATGAGACAGCAATTAAGGAAAGAAAGGAGAAATGGACATAAGAGGGAAGGAGAAGGAAAACGGGAGAAAAAGAAAAGAATTACAGGTGCTCCGAAGATGCGCTCCAGCCGTCTCTGAGCTTCTTCGGTAGGACTCAACACAGGGCTCTCCTACAAGTCAGACCACCGAGAGGAGGTGAGTCTATCAATCTGTATGCCTGCATTATGTACTGCTACACTGAGAGACAATACAATTAGTGAATACTACTTCTGTAGATTAGTGCAACAGGACCTACCGCCGAGATGGCAGATGTGCGTTAGTCATGCCTACTCTAATGCATTTCCTTCCTGCAGAGCACAGCTAGCGCACAACTAACTGCTGCAGGGGACAAACATGCACACACACGCACACCTTTTTGATTACAGATGGACGGGGGGCTTTAGATATGCCCCTAAGAAGAGGCTTCTCAGTTGGGGTTGTGAACAGACGTGAGACTGTCTTCACCTTTAAACATCATCAGGTGCATACACACACACAAAAACAAAGGAACACCCACAAATACACAGAAGGTGCACACAGTCAGTTTCTGTGGTTTGATTATACTCATGCTCATGAATTCAACTTGTGAACAAACAAGTAAACAAACTGCCATATAGAAATTATTCCAACATGCAATCACCACTTCAAACCAAACCATTCTCTTTAAGAAACTTCTGCCATTGCAGTGTTCTTTTAAATAAGCTTCATACAGCAGCACAAAAGAACATCAGAGAGTCTCCTATAAAGCTGCAAGTCCATCACATTAGCTTTGTATGATTAGGCCGGCCTACCTCTCTCAACTGCAGACAGTATAGACATCATTAATTGGCCTGTTGGATTCATACACTTACACATGCCCTCCCTCTCTCATTCTTATTCACTCTGTTTAAAACACACATTCATACATTCACACAGATCTTCCTTCAAAAGTAACACAGACTGGATGAACAGTTGTATGCCATCCATAAGTTTTAACTCAAGAGGTTAGGCACCTTACAACCTGAGACAACCTATGCACAGCTGAGAATCTAAGTAGGAAAGTGCTGTCAAACTGAGACAGGCTCTAAACAACACAGTTCTGTCACACAAACTTTATAGCACAGTGCAAAAGCCCAGAGACCACACTTTATTTATTTAATTTGTTTAATCATTAAATTGTTTAATCATTATTAAAAGACACAGAGAAAATGGGACTCCTGACAACCATGTAAGACCTTGTAGACCACCAAAACTGTCACAATCAGATAGACAGTACTTAAAGCTTTCATCTTTGAGAGAGAGGAGAAAATCAAGCTCCAGTCTTACTTCAGATGTGAAAAAATCCAACCTTCCACTATGATAAGACAACTCAATTTTATGGGTCTAAAAGGATGTGTAGCTGTCAAGAAGCCATTACTGAGAAAGCACATTGACAAAAAAGATTATTTGGATCATGAAAAGCAGAAAAGGCAACCAACTTCTAAGACTGAACTTTGGAGGTGTGGAAAATATCCCTGCAGATTTCTTTGAAAAACAAAGTGCGTATCTCAAAAAGAATGGAAGCTAAACAGTGCACACATTGAACAATGAAAAATGTTAAAGAATACTAAGTGTTGGAGGTTTTCATGTAATTTCTGTAAAATATATAAAAAAAAATTATAAATTATTGTAAAATACATAATGTTCTTTTCCTTATGCTGAAAAATGGTTACTTTTATTATTTATTCTGCTTAATGGCTGTTTCACCTAGAAATTAGTATAATAAAGGGTGGCCTCTGACTTTTGCACAGTACTGTATATATATTAGAAAAATCAAAATGGGTTATCTTACTTATCTTTGCTCTTTGCAGTTTTTGACTGCTTACTGTTATATAAACACACTGTGAAGTAAGTTCTGTTAGAAACTGAAAGCACATATATTAGAAAGGATTAGCTAAATACCAAAGAGTTTGCTCAAGCTCATGCTGGATCTGTTGATTTCCAATTCTCACACAGTCCCATGAGGGTAAAGTGATCCATGCAGAACAAATGCACAATCAGTACCTCTTGGCTCTTCGTAGTCAGCTGTTTGGGGATGGGAATGAACCCTGGTGGAGGGGCGAAGGGGTCAGGCTTGGGTGCAGGACATGAGAGGGTGGTGGGCTTGACTGGGTCAGAAGTAGCAGGTGAAGCTGCTTTGGGAGCTACAGGAGTAGATTTGGGTGTGATGGATACAGATTTAGGGTCTGGAATGGATGCTGAAGGGGTAGAGGTACTGGGGGATTTAATGGCTTCCGCAGGTTTCGGAATAAATCCAGCAGGAGGCGCCATGGGAGAAGTCTTCGGTGCAGGTATGAAGCCTGGTGGAGGAGAAATTGGAGAGGGCCTTGGGGCTGGAACAAATCCAGCAGGTTTAGGGGCTGGCACAAACCCAGCAGGTTTAGGGACTGGCACAAACCCTGCTGGGGGTGCTGTTGTACAGGGTTTAGGAGCAGGTGTGAACCCTGGAGGTTGCGACTGATTTTTATTCTTGGAACCTGAGACAAAGCCATCTGATGGGGAGACAGGAGACTTAACAGGAGAGGAAACAGCAGGAGTAGATGGAGGAGAACATACAGCAGCTTTTTCCACCGATTTGGATGCCGCAGTCTGGCTAGCTGCAGGTTTCACCACACTTGTTGCTGCTGTTGCTGAGCTTTCTTTCTCTTCCTTCTTCTCCTCTTGTTTTTCTATGGAATCTTCCTTGCGGGACCGAGGTCGCGGCTCCCTGGTCCTGCCACGGTTCATCAGGCTTGCTAAACCTGCAGAGATATCGTCCTTCTCTTCCTTCTTTACAGAGTCATGTTTGAAAGAAAAGACTGGCATCTTCATGGTTTTGGGCACAGACGTTGGCATGGGTTTGGGAGCCTCAGTGGGTTTTTGTGGCTCACTAGGAGCCTGGGGAACAGAAGTAACCATAGTTGTGGCTGAAGCATCATCTTCAGCAGGTAGTACTCTCCTCACCACCCTCCGCACAACCTTGACCACCTTCTTGCGGGTTACACCCTGTGGATCCTCTACGACGTCCGGCTGACTGTTATCGACCACAGTTTTGATGGTGCTGTTTAGGGGACCATTGGTCTTGCTATCACCATTCAGCACGGGCACAACACTCGGGGAAGCTTTCAGAGGCTCAGGGCTTCTGAAGCGCTCCGGCATCTTTGGTGGATCTGGACTTTTGGCCACAGAAAACCTGTTCCTATTGGGCGAGGGGCTCTTGAGTCGCTCACGGAGCTGGGGCTGGGACTGGGCATGGCCAGGAGGGTCTCGAGCAGGCTGGGGGCTCTTAGTACGCAACAGAGCTTTACCAGGCTCCAGACAGGGCACCGACTGGGAACGGCTGCTCAGACTGCCATCACTGTCAGACTACTCAGCCGGAAGGCCCAAGAGGAGCAGAAGGAAAAGACGTTACTGACAGAGATTACTATCTTTGTCACACAAAGGTAACGGCAGACAACTCTAAAATTATACCTTACATAAGCCCTTTTAAAATAAAAAATATTTTGTTCTGAAGAGGGAAATCAGTGAATCAAACGCAGTATAACAAAATTGAAGTGTCTAAAACGACTAAAAATATTTGTCTTGTTTTTCACAGGCTGATCAATATGAAAAGCCAAGGTGTGCAGACACCTATGCAGAAAATAAGCAAAAGAAGCTTTCATGCAGCTGACGCCTACTCATATAATAGTTCATTCTGCCCTCACTCACTGCAATAAGCTGCAATAATCTCAGTATAATTCTCAGTAAACAAGCTAATACAAGCTAAAGGGCTATTTCAACAGGAATTTATCTAAATGAGATTGTGTTACATGATAGACTCCCTAAGGACTTTTGATGGATACAGAACTTGAAGGAACCTGTAATGAACTACATTTGCCATGCAGTTAAGAAAGCAAATTATCATTAAACGCTAAATAAAGCGTAGTTTGACTTTTTAATGTAAAAGGTTGTACAAAATAAAATAGAAAACAAAATAACTGATAATCCAAAAAGGATGCAATAGTTACAATTGATTAACACTGCAAGGTCAAAAAGCCTGCATTTCTCATGTAAGCAACATAAATATTATTAGCATTAGCCTTACAGCTAACAAATTCAGCAAAGGAAAAAAAGTCTTCACAACTGAATCAGTATTTTTGCTAATCTGTGCTGAAGCAGGCGTGTGTGTGCATGCATTCGCATGGTGTTTATCTTAACTGCCTATCACGACATACCTCTCTGAGTAAATGGTCCTTAGCAGCTGCATGTTGGTCAACAACAGCTGCATATTGACTGCCAGAACTACAAAGGACTCAGTAAATCATCTTCCCTTCAACAGGAGATTATGCTATTTAGAAGTAAATTCCATCAAATTTGTTGCACGAAATGGAAACACTATTATCCCTGTTATCCCTGCGCCTATTATCACTATTATCCGGCTAGGTCAATGGCTGCTAATGTGAGTTAATTTAGGCTACCTGACTGACAATATCCACCATTATCCAATTCAACATTGTTTCATTTTAAACAGGTTGTGAATACTGTGAAGACTGGAAAAAGTAGAGACACACCAAAACTTCAGCCACCCAAAAAAACTGTGTTGAGAATGCCACGGTTTCAGTCAAAAGAGAAAAAGTGCTCAAAAAATTAGACTGAAAAAGAAACAAAGCTTAAATCGGCCTACAACAAAGTGTTAAAATCGTTATAGAATCAAAAAGACTTTACAAATAGTTTGAATAGTAAGAAAAATGAGAAGCAGTGATTAAAAGCACTGCTTGTTCTCTTCACTCTCCTGCGTCAGTCAGCAAAGACGTGTTCAAACAGTTTGAGCAGCAGCAGAAGATCAACAGTGAAAATGTCAGCTACGTAAAACTATGTCATGGTTTCTACAAAGGACATTACACTGGCGATCTGTTATCACTGTTCATGCCAAACATCAAGAGGGGATACAACAGCAAAGAACTTCTCTGTTTGATACCACTTAAAAACCTGACATCCTGTTTGATACACAAAATAAAGCAAAACAACAGAAGGAGAAAGGACAGTCCTTGCTAGCATGCTAGCACTATCTGTAGTTACAGTTGTACAAATGATGAAATCAGTGCTGCACTGTGAAGTATTACTAAAAAAATAAATAAAATAGAATCAATTGTCTTGGATGATGAGTGTTCTAGGTTGTCAAGGGCGTTTGAATTCATCGTACATACTGTAGCCTATACACTGTACTAATATTAGTAAGTTTATTTTATATGAACCTTTTTTTACTTTTTGTCAGCTTTTCCGGTTTCAATTTTAGCGTGTCCTGAATTTTGGTTTCAGTTTCGGCCAAAGATTTTCATCTCAGTGCATCACTAGTAAAAAGCAAACACAAAACTTAGCAGAGCTCAGTGAGTGAGGACACAAGGGTGACTTTTGAACTATACAAGAATGTTTCCCCCAGACCCACACCAACCAACAAATCAGCTTCCTGTGTCAGTAAAGCGTGATGGCGTTTCACACTGTGTTTCTCACTGCACTTACACTATCTTTCGAACTCTTGGGGGTTGCCTTGGTCTCTTCTTTGACCTGAAGAGGTTTGTGGGAGAAATTAATTAGGATGTGGGTTTTAAATCAATTGAAACGGTGCTCTGGATATCACAGATGCACACCACACACTCATGTATGAAATTCTAAGAGTGTCAATAGTTATATTTGATAAGTGGTGTTATTGCAAAGTAGAATAACAAACAATACTGCTTTATACTATATAACCAAATCCAAACATGCACAGTTTTATTTTTATCATTTATCATGTTACATTTAAAGCATCAGCGTCAGTTTACTGCTGCGGTCGAGCCAGTGGCAAGCTTTCAAAATGAAACCAAAAGAGCTCTGGCACAGCACTGGTGAACTCCTTAGAATACAGTCTGCTATGATGTTAGAATACACCAGACAGCTTTACACAGTGAACCATGTTTTCCATCTGCCCCAGAACACACACGCAGACTGGGCCATGCATTTAAATGCACACCACCATTCAAATGTACTGAGCACTCAGAACCCTGAGAAAAGAGGCGGTACTCTGTTTGTTTTAGGTATATACCTCAGAGACAATATGCATTAGAAGAAAGACAGCATGCAGAAAACACAAAGCTAGGAGCGCACTGTGCAGTGAATGGAGAATGAGGAACGGAACACCACTTTCCTTTTGCTCCCAGAAGGAAAAGCGTGATGAGAACGCCATGGTGGTGGCGCTGTGGTCATGGGCTGGGCCGGGTAGGGGGGTACAGGGAGGAGACAGATGAAGAAGGGCGTTGTGAGGTGATGACAGTCACGTGGGCCAAGAGATAAGAGGCTGGCACAATGGTGGCTGCTGGTCTTGAAGACGTTAGCCCTGGATCAAAAGCTTCAGGCAAGAAAGTCTCTGGAGAAAGAAAGGGATTCTGGGTCTGCGGGACAGAGGTTTTAGGGGTCGTCACACGTGGGTATAATTGCATAGAAAGTCAAACTAAAACAGCGATTCTCAAACTAGCCCTCAGGGACCCCTAGATGGTCCACAATTTTGCTCTATCCCCAAGTGTGAGGACTTTGGAATAGACTGTCTGGGGGCCCAGAGGACTGGCTGGAGACACTGAACTACAAAATTGCACACTAGTATGATCACTCCAAGAGGTTAAAAATATCTGATAAGTCAATATAATTACAACTGCTGCACAGCATCTGTGACACACATAGGGCTTTATCAATTATATTCGTAATCAAATAATCTACTGATGGCAGGGGTCACCAATACATCTGCAGGTGGGCTGGAAGAAAAACCTGTAGCCACACTAGCCATTCTTGGATAAGACTGGTGACCCCTGATTAATCAAGTAAATTGTTGTTTTTTTTTGTTTTTTTTTGTTTGTTTTTTTAAATGGGCAAAAGAAGAATGACTGACTTATCTGAACAACAACGAACCATGTATAGCCTTACAAAAGAAAAAAACAACTGACAGAAAAAGATAAACCAGAAAGCCTTTAAAATAGCATCAATAAAACGCTATGTAGCCAAAAAAACAGCATACATGGTCATAAGCAAAATTTTCAATGCCAATGGGCAAATTATTTGTTGATTTTCTAAGTGAAAATAAAAACACACCCTCTACAGGGAATAACCTAAAATATGGCATTTTTCTACAATTGTCAGTGCATAACTTCTACTTATTTGGCTGAGTTGGAATGATATTGGAAAAAATAAAACAAGTCATCAAATGTGGCACACCTTTTACACACATATTTAATGTTTTTCTCACAATCTGTTAAATTCAGCAAATAAACAGTAATTAGGCATTAAAATGTGGAGAAGTGTGTTCTCTGTAAAAGATGTGTTAACTCACTCATTTTCATTTAGAAAATCAACAAAACATGTCATTTAACCAGGGCTGTCCATATGACTGTAAATGAGTTTCTCCATTTGTCTCTGTTTCTTACTGTAAGACAGTTGATGAGTTATTTGAGGTGTTCTCCTGGTTGGCTGACAAAAATCTGCAGCTACACTGGCCCTGAAATGGAATAATATTGGAATGATACCGTTTTTGGCCACATAGTGTTTTTAGTGAGGCAATTTTACAGGCTTTCTAGTTTACCTTTTAATCTCTAGCTTATCTTTTAATCTTTTAATTTGTCTAACAGTTTTTTCTCTAATTTAAAACATACATTATCATCACAAAAACTGGCACCTATTTATTTCAAATTCATCAAGAAGGCAAATGTGAATTGAGTAAAAGACAAAAGAGCACTGTAAGGTTCGAGACTGGGCTAAGTGTGAGGCTGCAGTTAAAGCTGGTTAGCTGCTGTAAGAGAGGGCCTTTTTGTTTTTTGACTGTGGAAATACTATATAGTGCTATAGTTTCATCAGTAATCAGATTTCAATAATCAGATTTGCACAATTATAAATGTAAAAAAATAAATAAATAATAAAGCAACCCAATATGGCAACAGTCCTATATGCCTACATTAGTTCAGCTTCATAAGTTGTAAGTACTTTTGTTTATAAACATGCATAGCAATGCCACTGTAGTTTTACCTCATCGTTACATCATTACATCAGAGCACACAGCAGCTGAACAGGCTTTTTCCAGCTGCTCCAGAGGCCTGGCACAGACACGGGGCTAAAGAATGGATATGGTCTTCCCCAATCTCCATCAACATGCACTCTCCTGCCCTGCTGTACCCTAATACCAGCCTAACACCAGCAGGACATCTCCCTCTGACTCAGTCTTTCAATTAGAGCACACCACACCAGCTAAATAAAGCATCCGTGGAGTGCTTATCTGTGAACAGTGCACTGTGATACTGAGAGCAGAGTCTTTTTTAAGGAGCTGCCACTCCAAATTGGACCTAATCTCTAGTACTGCCACGCAATTTATCAATATGGTACCTAAATAAATAAGACAACAATGGTAGGAGAAGCATAGAAATATCAAATGCATTTCTAGCAATATGAATAATGACAAACTACAGGGTCAAGCAAAAGTCTGGAACCATCCAAATATCTTGAAGACCCTTAAAGCTTGATTATTAGACCAATGGTTGTATCTATGATGTATGCATTGGTCTACCACATAATAATGAAATCATAATTACGTTAAAGGTCTTACAGATATTTGTGTGGTTCTTGTCCTTTGATTCACGAGGTACTCACCTGATAGGAGTAAAGCAAAGCAAATTTTAGTTAGAGTAGCAACTATTGGCTACATATTCCACCATTCAAAAGCTCTATAGCCACCAGCACTCCAATTGAAAAACAAATCAAGTCTAAATCTGGCAAGTCAATAATGGTAACTAGATTCACCACCACAGCTTTAAGCCTACCCACAGATTTAAAAGCAGGACTTACAGCAGTAAACAAGTCCTAAATCAACATCTCTCCTTGAAGCCCCAACTGCACTACAGCAACAATCTCCCGTTTGTTAAGACAACAAAATAAATCCAACAATGTGTGAGTAAATCCTTTATTCATTTATGCCCAACGTAAACAATAAAACAACAACAACCAATTCACATTATCAGTGCTGAGTCACTTGCTATAACCAGGGCTCGATTTAAGGGGGGGTGCAACGGGATGCCATCTCCACATTTAAAAAAAGTGATCAGACTACTCATCTTTAAATGACAACTTATTTGTTACACATATTTCAATTCCTTCTACATTTGCGATTTGGAGGTGTTTGGAATACCCCAACTTCCACCTAGCTGTCTGAACCCACCATCCCCCCTTTTTTTGCAATTCAATAACTGACTATAACTCCTTGCAAAGTCTCAGCATTTTACATACACAGCAGACAAATCACCCACACAGCTCCAGAGGCCATTTCTTTACGCAAAGCACAGAATGTGATAATGGAACTAACTAACAGATGGATTTAGCTACAGGAAGCAGCATACAGGAAAGAACAGCAACACCTTACTGGAAAGTACTGGAAAACTTCTCAGTCTTCATTGGGCTGAACTGCATATATAGCACATGTGAAACAATAACATCTGAAGCATGTAAGCTATGGAAGTGAGAGTTTTCTAGTCCAAGTGATATTTAAATCACACCATTTGCCTTGACTTTCAAATCATACTTGCCTCAAAACAAATCAGAATCTAAAATCTGTCCTCAGTACAATGTTGTTATACAACACCAATCGTGGCACATAGATTAATACTAACATAAACTCTCTACTGTCTTTATAAGATTAAATTTTAGATGGGGATTCCACATATTTTTCAAAATATCTCAGTAACTCAGCCATTGAGATGCAAACAAAGTTAATCAGATTGTTTTGATGTGAAATTCTTCACAGCAGAGAAACTTACAGATTCAAAGGTTCTTTATCTTATTTTCTCTAATGTCTTTAACGCAAACAAAGCCATTTTGTTTACTATCCAAACCAACCCCCTACTGTGTTATTATATTTAATGCTGATAATGATAAAATAGTTTTCTTTGGTTAATATTTTTCCTACAACACCCTGCAAGTATCTCTCCACAATGCATGTTTTAAGCCAAACTTTATCTGAAAACTGTTGTAAAACAATGTCTCAGGCATCAGGCAGCATATTTGTAACTATTTTGTATAATGAGGTAGCTTTTTGATTAAATTCTGGTTCCTATCACCACCACTGTGAACAATTCTGGTGCGGTAAGTTTCTCTATAATGAAGCGTTTCACATCAAACCACTCTGAATGACTTTGTTTACATCTTAATAACTGAATTATGCAGAAATTCTGACAAATAGGAGGAACTGCCCTTTAAATTAGCTAGCTCTTCAGTTTTTCCCAAAAAGCAGTGAGTACCAGGGCTCCAACTCACTCAAAGATCTCCAACACCAGCCTACCATAAACACAACACAACAGCATCTCAAACACATTAAAACTTCAAATTAAAGCAAGTACATTTACAGTTTCAGACTTGACTGAATACCTATAGTAGCCTAAAAGAGTGGCAATGCTAGCTGGTCTTTTCACCAAGCGGCCCATCGCTCTCAGCCCTAAAAATAGTGCAGCAGAGCCAGACAGGCCTCAGCCTGAGCCAGCACATTGAGCCCAGTCTCCTCCAGCAGCTCTACCTACATCTGAGCTTCTAAAGCCCCAAAACTAGGGCCAAAGCTGCCTTACCTCAGGTGTTCTGTGCTGCCTCTTCAAAGCTAATGTGGCTCCGTTATCCAGCAAAGGTCAGGACGGAGCAGAGTGGAGGCCTAAAGTGGCCAGCGAGAGTGTGAGAGTCACAGAGAAAGAGCAGAGAGCCAGTGAGCTCACGTCACTCACCCACACAGGCCACAGACCGGCTAGTTTCCACTATTCCTGACGAAGGAGGGACAGCTGTCGTGGGGTGGGGGGGTACCACGTCAGCCTAAATATAGACCCTGACTAGCACTACTGTTCCTGCTGACCTCTCTCACTCCCCGCCCCCAAGAATGCTGGCAGGATGGCAAGTGATAACGCTCCTCTCCTCTCTTCTCCTCTCCTCTCCTGTCCTCTCTCAGCACCAGCTGCTCCTTCTTCTCAGCTGCTCCACAGAAGACGTAGTTCCAGCACACCTACCACTACTGAATAAAGACGGGGGTGCGAGCCACTGAAAGTTTGTGCAGCCAAGTAAGTCTGTTTTCTTTGGGAGGTGTGGACGTATGCAGAATCGTTTCAGAGTGCAGAGAAAACAGACAGAGGGAAAAAGAAGAATCGCTAAAGCGCTGCGAGATGCAGGCAGAGGAAATGATGCAAGGGCTTGGCACTTCCTACAAGCCGTTTCAAAACTGCAGAGGGCACTGGAAAATACACCGCCACTCACCTAACATCCATCCCTCGCTACAAAAAGAAACAGAAATGAGCAGCACAGGATAACTCCAAAAGCATTAAAAAAAAAGAAAAAAGAAGGTATTTTCTGGAACTTAAATCACCTCCTCAAGATGTCATGCAACAGTCTAAATGGCCAAGTACTCAACTGTCATGTTAAGAGCATCTCCAAAACATTTATATCCAAATGCACCAAGTATTACAACCACTGTGGACCATCCATATTTGAATAAGCTGGTTCTGTTGGAACGGAAGGAAACACATTACGAACAACAACAGCATTGTTACTATTGCCATTTGTTTCAGCACTGGTTTCCTGGACAGGAATTTAAGGTTAGTCTGGTACCACATTTTCCTTCACATGGAAAACCTCTATTCAGAATGCCTTAGTCCAAGAGTAGGTTTAATCCCTCTTTGAGAGACTGAACCTCTGAGCAACAGGAGTACTTTGTCCTACTCATGACTCTTTCAGCAGCAGCATTGCCTTAACTAGCCACCAGGAGGCTTCTCTTCCCGTCTTTACCTGCTCTTCCTGTCAAGAAACTGTATCAGTTCAGCAATCCAGTCACAAGAGGGCGCCGTAAGCCTTCCTAAAGCTCTCTGTGAGCCACACTGCCCACCTGGCTCTGACAGACACAGGATCAATTTCTAAAAGAGCAGTTTGTTTGCTTTCAGCTCCCCTGCTCAAACACAGTTAATCAGTGTGACTCAACACAGCGTGGCAGGGTGTGTGTGACTGCTGACTAAAGCGTGTGGTAAGATGGTTACTCCTAAAGGTACAAGGGAGGGATAAGAGCTCAGGTCTGCAGTGAAATGAGGTTATCAAGTAGTCAACTCTTAACAGCAAAGGTTGTGGCAATAGCAGTAAACGTAATACATGTCAGAGAGGATACAGCAAATTCTCAGATCTGTGTCAAGCTTCAGGTTTTATTTGTCACATATTGTCTTGGGTCACTTCTATCATCATTTGTTTTTTGCTGCTATTTAATTCGTTAATGTATTATAAAAAATTATTCAAAAGTACATCGTTCCAGCTATATTATGACTTGTCAATCAATACCTTGAGTCCAACTGAGCAATAAAACATTCACATAACCCGCTATTTTACTTCAAAACAAATGCTGGGACACTAATTCAAAGCATACATGCTTGAAACAGATCTCCAATGTACCATCCAACACACCAAACTCTAAATTTCATTAACATTCTGAAATATAGAGAAAGTTTGAAAACTAAGAAAACTTGACTACTGGATTTAATACACTAAATACACTAAAAAAATTCCAAAATCAAGAGTGAAAAACGTACTGAGTGGTGGCAAGAGACCAGAAGTGTTCAAAACCTGCCACGCTCTGGCCGTCCAAAAGAGAACACCCAACAAGCCTGGCTGAGCATCAGTCTGCTTAAAAGACTTCAAGCTGCCATCTAAAAGAAGGGATATGCAACAATATACTGACCTAAGCAAAATACCAAGTACTGACCTACACAAAGGAAAAGGGCAGTAATGTGTGTCCCGCAAATGTATCAGTACTTTTACTTTGTAGTTAAAGAATTATTTTGTTTTAATTAGTTAATAAGTTTTTAGTGCATTACCAGATTACCTTTAAGATTCAGTTAGTAAACCTGATTGTTTAATGCTGGTTGTTATAACCTCTCTACTAGATATGAATGAATCAATGATAGGAGCTATAATAATTCTTGTGGTGTTCCATAATAATAATTGTGGTGAAATTCTTTGCCAATGTGCAAACACTACATCACAACACAACGGCATACAAAATATGTAATCACCAGAAGTGAGCATGGACAGAGTAGCCTACATCTATACTCAAGTAAAAGTATTTCCAAAAAACAACTTGTGTAGAAAGTAGAAAAGTAGCAGGTCACAAAACTCTGAGTAACCTGAGGAACTGCAGTGGGACTTCTTAGCAGTTAGAGAATCTGAAGTTTGTTAGGCTCTATTCATCTCTTTTTGAGAACATCTACAATTGATGACAAACTGTACAGATGCTGTTTCTATGACTAAGGGTCTGTTTACATCTGTAGTTCAGTTCCCATGGTCCAGACAAACGATAATTAAGTGATACATCATTGTATTTTAGTTCTGGTTCGATTATCCTACACACTGTCAAATATGACATTCAACCAAAAGATGTAAATAAAATCACAAAAGGTAAAAAGTCAAAGTGACAATATCCAACAAACCTTCTGAATTATGCTGTACTTGGGCTTAACTTAAAGGTATGTCTTGTTTTATCCATCTTGTGATATTCTAGAACAAAAAGGCACATGAGGCTATGCGGAACCGTGGTTTTCCCTCAGTGAGATGAAATCACTGACCACACACAGCGTTGAGCATCTTTCTGCTACAATAAAACATGACAAGCTTGGAACATAAATATATCATATGATTGATGAGTGCAGTAATGTGTGTACATCAAGTATTTTATAATAGCTTTGAATGTGTCATTTTAAAAATAAAATCTGTTCCATAATTAACAGAGCAATCGCAAAAACTTTCATTTAACCAAGCACATCCTAATGTATATGAGTAAAAGTAGACTCCTCACATGTTCAATATTAGTAAAAATATTATTTAAAAATAAATCCACTCAAATTTTGTACATGTAGCTAATTACTACTGCCTCCGCTAACCACAAAATACACACGTGGATATACACACATACAGATTATACACAGAACACAGCAGAAGACTGTATATGCAGTACTGAAACAACCAGTTAATACTGCATCTCATGTTATGCAAAAGAGGCCTTTTAATTTGTATATTCATATATTCATTTTATTGCTAAAATGGGACAAAATATACTGAAAAGACATCCAATGAACAAGTATAGCCTATATGTGGTAAACACTGAGGTGTGTAAGAGTATTTGATTTGTGCAAAGTTGAGTGTGAATGTGCATGACGTATGCAGATGATGCAAGATGCAGGTCAGGTTCAGAATGCACAGTTCACACATCAATTCTAAGGCCCACAGACTTGGCCACTCACCATCGTATTCCATAAGAACATAAGCCATAAGCACCTCGCAACGGTGTTTGTACAGCATGTACACTGCACGTATATGGTATAAATGTGTGCAGAAGAGCTCTGTGTGAGAAGCAGCAGCAGTGAGGCTGTGGTTACTCTGCAAGCTGACCAGCCAGCAGAGAGAGAGAGAGAGAGTTTGGATTGAGGAGGAATGTGAGCTATGAGCCAGTCAGGCAGGGATAATGAGAAGAGTATGCAGCTTGGAGCAGCCAGAAACAACCCCAATCCCCTTTCACCCATCCTCGTCCCTTCATCCCTCACCTCACCTCACCTCTGCCCAGAGCTCCACAGGCTCACCCAACAGTCTCCGCCACTCCACTCACCACCGGCATATTAACACTAGAGTGACATACCAACATACTCATGCACTCAATCAGCTCCACCCAGGCCTAAAGCACCCATACCACATTATCCTTAACCCTGACTGATCCTTAACCCTAAGAAGCAGCAGCTGTAGCGGTAATAACAAAAGAAGAATAAGCAGGAAAAACATCTAAGTGCTAACTTTAACATGTAAACAACATGGACACAGCATGTTATATATAATGTAAATTTAGAATTTAAATGTTATTCACTGCACAATCATATGTTAGCAATTATGTAATTATATAATTACATAATTGCTAGGGGTCTACCGATACACTCAGCCCACAATAAGATTTGGTTCACTATATTAGCTTAAATGTTACTGGGTTCATTATTTAAATGAAGGAAAACAACGCTCATTCATGTTGTTGCACAACTTTCTAAAGACATTATTTACAAGTAAAAAACACACCGCTGATGCTGAAATATCATTAACTTAGCAGACTACACTGTACAGGACTCATGTGAGAGAAACTACCAAAAGCAACAGGAAAGTGAAAAGCTACAGTTCACCTCAAAACAAGATGCGACAGTGACATGAGCACTAGCGGGCTACAAACCTGGAGGAACTGGAACATGCAGCCACTGTTGCTCTCACTGGGTATTGGTGAAACAGTAAACAGTAAACTGCATTCAGGGCTCAAATCAGGGTTCAAAAGAACCCAACGTTCACACAATAACGTTATTAATAAGCAATAAACGCATTCTTTTTTCAACATTTCTGCATAATTAAATCATTAAGATGTAGACAAAGTCATTCAGAGCAGTATGATGTGAAAAGCTCTGTTGTAGAGAAACTGACCGGGTCAAAATTGTTTACAGCAGGTCTGATGCAGTTAATGTCTCAAAAGGCATTAAGAAAACAGAAAGAAAAAAGAAATATATAACACAGATATAACCCCAAATGATTATGAATCTGTTGCCTTAAACAATGTTTTACAACAGTTTTGAAATTCAAAGCCTTTGAGCAAAAATGTATATATTTTTAACCCATTCACATCAGAGAAGTACATGCAGGTTGTTGTGAGGCAAAATAGTCCCCAAAGAAACCTTTTTCCCCAGACCTACCACTATTTTATCATTATGAGCATGTGATTGAAGACATGTGGGTTCACTGAACATTTTGGATAGAAAATAAAATGGCTATATTTGCA